AAAAAAAAAAAAAAAAAAAAAGAACTCTACTTCTTGAGTAATTCACGTATGATGGTGAGAAATTCAAAGAACAAACTATCTGAACCTACGTAAAATACTTGAAAAACTTAAGCAGATCCAAAAGAGCATTTCCCTTACTTCCATGATATTCTGTTCAACGATTTCAGGGTCGTTGCAGACAGATTCTACGAAGAAGAGTTTGAAGCCCATTTTCTCGACGACGATGTCTCTGATCAACTGTCGTCTCTCGACGGTTGAATTAGTGGCGTCGAACACAGCCACTTCGCCGTCACCGCTCTCTAGCCACTGGCAGACGTCCTTCAGGGCATCCATTGCACACTGGGTACGTATCGCCATCGCCTTAATGTTATCAGGACGGAAAAATTCATGGCATTGGTAAGCGGTGGTTGCGTGTCGCCTGTACTCTCCCAGGTTGAACACCTTCGTGCTTATGCCGATCCAGTTCAGGTATCTGCACAACTTTTTCGAGATGTAAGTCTTGCCGCGAGCCGGCAGGCCCACCATTGCGATTACATGCGGCTTGTTTACGAAATTCGCTCGTTCGCCTGCAATAAAATATATATAAACGTTTTTTAAAGATAAATATAAATTTTTTAAAATATATATAAAGTATATATAAACGTTTTTAAAATATAAAATTTTTTATAATATATATAAAAAATATAAAATTTTTTAAAATATATATAAAATATATATAAACGTTTTATTAATATATATATATAAATTTTTTTTATCGTTACACATTTTACCTTTCGCAGAGATAATTTTATCAGATTGAAATTCAAATGTCATTGTACGTCGAAAAATGTGTTTAGATAGCAGAAATTAATTTTTTCCACTGTGCGATATTATTACCGCGCGATATCGTTCAATTTTCACGTAAGTCACTGTTTTTTTTGGAAACACTAGTCTGATATCTCTCCTCTCACCGAGTGCAGTTTCTGATTTATCTACATACTATGTTCCCACGACATTCCACGTGTCGAAAATATTCAGTTTGAACGTTTATCGAGTATACTCAAATTTAGCTAATTCTAGACACGACAGAAAAGAATAATTGATTGAAGGTTATTCTACGTGTGAAAACAAAGAAAAAAAACTAGTAGAATAGAATTTTCCTGTAAGATGCTCACGTTTTCGAGAGCGTCGAGTTTGAAAACTTATCAAGTACACGCGTGCTTGAGGCAATTTTTAACGAAACATATTTTCTTGAAAACGACACCTTAAACGAGAGAATTTTATTCTACATTTTTCACTTATGTTTTTGCATGTAGAATATCCCCGTGTCGATTATGTCTGTATATTGGAATCAACCAATAGATGATAAAGTTTTTTGATGAAAAAATTTTATTCTCTCTTTTCGATATATTTTTACACATAGAATCACCTCTCACTGGTCGGTTGACCCACGAGTCGCAGGACGCCCTACGTACAATTTTTTATTTACCTCTGTCGGTATTCCTGTATGTCGATAATACGCTGTCCTTCGAGCATGTGGAAATTATCACATTAACTTGTTATTACTGTCTAATCAGACGTTCTGTCAAAATATTTGTTAATTGAAGAGAGATGCATACATAATACGTACAGAGATATACACAAGTGTTACGAGGTCTGGGGGCTTAGGATCTAATACATCGGTCTTAACGTGCCGTAGATTTATACGAGACCGTATAAATTTAATGAGAATACGATCTCGTATAAATCTAACGAGAACTGGCTGTCCGAAATTTACGCAATTCCCGGTCGGTGCTATTAATGACCACTTGCCTATTTTCACCGGCTTGAAATATACGGAAATAATCTAATTGAAATTGTAAGGGAAGAAGACAATGAATATTCGAATATTGCGAGAGTTCGTTGCATTTCTAACTCCGACGACGACCTCGTAAAAAAAAGTCGGAGACCGCGTCGCGGTGGCACGATCCGCGATTAGTTCCCAATACAGCTTTACAGACGTAAACATTTTGTTATCTGGCGCTCTTTGCGAAATAACGCTCGTACGGCTCGACAAACACGCGTACATGCAAACGCGCGCCACCATTTTTCATCTCTCCTGATCCAATCTTCGCCCGATTAATTTTATCGCCAGACTGTTTTCAATAATTGAGCAAAGACCAAGGTACAGGAACAAATGACGAAAAAGTGCCTCTCCCTGCGAACTTTCAAATTGAATAAAGAAGCACGTCTCATGTCTCGTAACGAAACGGCATTTATAATGCTTCGTTATTTATATAATAAATATTTCTTTTTCTCTTGCTAATGTCTATTCTTCGTACTAGTATAGTAATATTATAATGTACTATTTATTAAATATTACTAGTATAATATACTTATATATACTAGTAATAATACTAGTAATTATTCTTGTTTCAGCTTAGTATATGTATATATGTGCTTATACGATAGAAACATTCGTCATAATGTGGAATTTTGATTAACTTTTCAGAAATTCCGTTAACTTAGGTCTTAGTAATTTTTTTGACAATTTTTCATTTCGATAAAACATTAACGATTTGAAGTTTACTATTTACTATTTAGTGTGTAGCTAGTGCAGATTATACGACAGATCGATCGTAGGGATGAATCTTCGTAACCAAGGTCGAAATTAAGGCCGTTACTGCAATGTTAAATACAGCTTCGTACCGGTTTCAATCGGTTTCGCGTTACCATAGACTTCAGTCAATTAACACGATCCCCTGTTCATACGTGCCTACGCAATCGTGTCACTCGTGCGAACGCGTTGCACGCGGTTCAACGCTGGGTATCTTTATAGGTTATGTTCCTGCGGGATTCACGATAGATAAACAGCGAATTTCTCGTCAGGGAATATTCATGTAAAAAATACAAGAACAAATGACGAGAAGATCATTTTAGTAATCTCAACTATTGCTTCTTCAGAGAAACTTCAATACTTTCTGTCGCCAAAAAAGAAGAGAAAGAAAAAAAAAAAAAGAACGAGCATTTTAGAAAATCTAAGTATCCATTTAAATATCTTCTTTTTTAGAATATCTTACCGCGAATGGGGAAAGGTTTTGTTTGAATGGTGTCCGAGTTCGGTGGCGTGTAATGCATCTCGATCTTCGGATCGGTCATCCTACGACACCATGTAGACACTCCTCCCGATCTCCCGGAATCCCAGGTCTCGCGTAGTTGCCTCGCTAGTTCCTTGTTCACGAAGGAAAAGGATCACCCGATATCCTCCCCGGTTTCACCGAACTGAATCACTCCGCGCGTATGTGTCACTCGTTCGACATACCGTGGCAAATTCTTCACGTTCGGCCCACTGTCACCGTGGCTTCCTTCTACCACTCGTATTCACAGAATGTCATCGTGCGTTGAATTCAGTTAACGATGCAGCGTCGTACGATGAACCGTCGCAGAATCACGGAAACAGAGAGAGTGATTCGACGAGAGTGCTGTAATGGTGAGTCTCTGCGAGCTCTCTATCTCACCGAAGTGGGACAACGAAAGCAGAGAGAGAGAGAGAGAAAGAGAGGGAGAGAGAGAATGGAAGAACTACGCGCATCTGCCGTACGCCGAGAGAAGTCTGAACTTTTAGTAGAGCGACGTGCATCGCTCGAATCTCGGAGCAATTATTATTACGTGGAGATCAGAAGCGCGGGGGTGATCCTTTTTGTCAGTAATTCTCATCGCGTGGCTCCGTGTCTCCGGATAACACTCTTAACGATGTCTCACTTTCTTGAAGGAGTATCCTTGCTCGTAAATGCGACGTAGGTTCGCTCAGGGGAATCAGCTCGCTGAAAGAACAGCGATATGTATGTATTTGGTTTGATCAAAACGAAAACGAGTAGGTTTGAAGAGAAGTATCTTCGACGAACACCACTGTGTGTTACATGAGAGTTACACCTCTGACCAGTCGGTAGCCTCGAGAACGATCACGCGACTTCTTTTGACGTCACTTATTATTTTCTAACCAATTTCCGCTAGTTCGACGCGACAGAGCGCGAGGCAAACTCGGACGAAAGTGTCTCCTATGTTTTGTCACGCTTGTTGCGGACAATTGTTTGACGAAACGCGTGGTCGCGGTGTCCCGTAAAAACGAGGATCTCAACCGAAACCCCCGCTCGTTTTGTCGTGTGCTTCGACAACCAATGAGAAACGTTCGCAACGTAGAGCCTGGCGAATAGGAGTGCGCATTTCTGAAAAAGTTACCAGGATCTCTTGTATTATTGTTTTTATAGTTGCGTTAAACATGTTTTGAAATGGAAGAAATTGTCTTCTTTAAAAAAAATGCAAAAAAAACACTAGATTATTATTGTACAGCACGCCGAGTGCGGAGAGCGAGCTTCAAAAAAAAAAAAAAAAAAACTAGATCATCATGATACAGATTATCAACTTCCAGACTATATTTCTAATTAAATTTTTTGGATGAAACGAAATTTCTTATTTGTAAAAAATCAAAATTATTTTATCTATCAGCAATTTATTAATGTTACTAGATTTTTATATAATATACATTAGCGTGCTTTTATTACTTTATCTTTATATTACTTATTGAGCCACGGAGAGAATTTTTTAATGAATAATAGTAGATAACAATTGGGAATGTTGACAGGTATATTCTACTTTGTACTTCGTATTCCTCGGTCTGATTACTATCTATTCCTTTCATTTAAAAAATGAAATCTTCGCGGTTAAAAGTTTGGCTCGATAAATGATAGAAAAACGCATCTCATACAACATTTCACTAGAAATTTTGGAAATGGCATCATGAGATTTCCGAAGAGACAGAAAAAGATAATAGATCATAATCCAATAACACGACATGAAACATAAAATAATATAATATAATAATAATAATATCATTGACTAATAGCATTTTAAGTCAATGATAATATATAAATAACAATATAAATATATATAAAATATAATATTAAATGAGAATAAAATAATAGATAATCGTTGTGCATACTGTATATAAAAAAATGAAAGAAATTCTTGGAACAAGTTAATGCTTACTTCGAACGCCGGTATTGCAGTGTGGAAAGGTGCCGATAGAGTGCACCGGTACTTCTATGGTTAATTATCGGTACTATCAGTTGTGATCGAGTAAAGAAAAGCGTAACGGCGGTGCTAAATAGAAAAAAAAAAGAAAAAGGAGGAAATTGTCCGATACGCGCAATTTGAAAACCTGCAATTTGAAAAATCGATCAAGGTAGGAGATATTTCATGATGTACAGTAACACACACCAAGTGGAATTTCAGGAACATAGAACGAAGCAGACATTCCTAATATTGGGTGTGTGGCACCGCCTTTATCACTATTCGTCACCCTGATGCATTTTATCTTCTTTTTTTTTTTTCTTTTTTTAATCATTTTAACGTTTTCTTTTTTCTCTACAACCAAGCATAAAAATGCAAACAATGACTCAATTTTCGTCAGAAAGCGTACGTCTCTGCACAGTTCCTCCTACGTTCATGTTCACAGGCTTAATATATAAACATGAAAAAATTAAATGCCGCTGTTATTTGCGAATGTTGTAACTTTCCTGTTTATGCAATAGTTTCTTTAATCTATTGATAGCCAGAAGAAGTGATTAATGCGACTGACTAATTTTTGGAGAATGAAACTGCCGATTGTTTAATGTATCTTTCAGGATACTAGCAGTTTTATAAATAATACATATGTACGTACGTGAACGTTTATCATGGTAAAAGTTATTTTGATGCTATAGATGATATGCTCTGTGGTGTTAAATCAATAGGTATAATTAATTTCTTCTGCATAAACAAGTTTGTCGAGTAAACAGAGTGTTGGTAAATGTAAGTTACTGACCCTGTTCTTAGATTTCTCGCGTGGTTTCACATCCTGCCTTTATTTAATGTAATCTCTTTCAATGATGCTTACTTCTAGGAGAATATTCAGTTTAACAAATGCACCACTCGGCACTTGTGTAAAATGAATGTTTTCTGTGTCCTTTAATTGTAAACATTTTTTTGCATATGATTTCAGAAAAAAAAAAAAATAAATCAAGATGTCCAAAAAACCAGGTACTACTCAAGCAATGCATAAAGTTATAATGGTTGGAAGCGGAGGTGTAGGCAAATCTGCTCTAACATTGCAATTTATGTACGACGAGGTACATGATTTTATAGAGACATACAAGGAGAAATAAGTTACATTGTCGACTGATCGTTCTTCTTTTTCATGTAAATCAGTTTGTCGAAGATTACGAACCTACAAAAGCAGATTCGTACAGGAAAAAAGTTGTATTGGACGCGGAGGAAGTTCAAATAGATATATTAGACACTGCAGGACAAGAGGATTACGCAGCAATTCGGGATAATTATTTTCGGAGCGGGGAGGGATTTCTTTGTGTATTTTCCATAACTGAAGATGATAGTTTTCAAGCCACTCAAGAATTTAGGTAAGGTAACGAATCATCATTTGATCTGCGAAATCTATGAACTACTTGATCTTTGAGATGAAATGTTATTTCATTTTGAACATTTAGAGAACAGATCCTCAGGGTAAAAAACGATGAAAACATTCCATTTTTATTAGTGGGAAATAAATGTGATTTACAAGAAAAGAGGAAAGTTAGTTTAGCTGAAGCTCAAGCTAGATCACAACAATGGGGTGTACCATATGTAGAAACAAGTGCAAAAACGAAAGAAAACGTTGATAAGGTATGATGATTGAATTGTACTTATTACATTTATAGCTATTGCATAAGTAATAATATGGAAATATATGCCTTTTAGATAATTAACAGTTTTATGTTAATAATATTATAATGATATTTCTATATTTATAATTGTATGCAAAAAAAATGCACATGCATTATTGATATTTTCTTATCATCGTAAATTTATTACATAGTTTTTAGAACATGAACATTGCATGAAATATATTTAATTAGCTTAGTATATAATTTACTGTACGTTTTATTTCCTTCGCTACACATACATGTCTTATAGCTTTCGCACTGGAAAATTCTGCAATGAAACATACTGTATAAATATAAGATTAATATCTAAATATACATTGCATTTTTTGTTTGAACTTATAAAGCACATTTTCAAGCCTTGAAGCTTTGAGATGGCATCACTTGCACATTTACAGGTATTTTTCGACTTGATGCGTGAAATAAGATCACGCAAGATTGAAGATAAGTCAGCAAGCAACGGTCGTGGAAAGGACCGTGCCAAGAGGAAGAAAAAGAAGTGCAAAATTCTATAGGTTTGCTTCTTTTGCACTATTTTTGATCGTTTATAAATGAAGAACTGGATGATGGTTTAGAAATGTTATATATTGCAGTATTCTTTTCACTTTTTTTCTGAAATTTAAATAAGTATGTATATGTGCAACTATCAGCAGGTAACACTTATACCAGAAGTATCAATCTGCAAGAGTGTCTCTCACAGGCACGTACAAAAGAAAATTTCTTATATAAATTTCGCTTGTTATGTTGTTTCCAGCTTATGCCTGAAACACTGCGTAATAATGCATGCATAATTTCAATTCAGTACCAATCGAATTACAAAGGCACAGACCGACTTTCTTTTTTCGTTAATTTTCGAGACTTTTATCATAAACGCAAAAAGAATGGGAATGAATTTTTTACATGATATAGTAAATATAGCTTATTGATACGCATGTTTATTTTAGAGATATCATACATTACCAAACTCTATTTCTATTTACACACGTTTTATACTTGATTCAGTTTAATAAATAAAACTTAAGCGATAAATACGAACGGAAAGTGAATTTTATTTTTTGTCCTGGTAATGATAATACATAGTAAAAGTTATTATAATTACGATCTTTAAGTAACAGAGATATAAAATGAAAATTGACAGTTTTTTTGTGTTCTAGGTGTTCTTTGACTTGATGCGTGCAATAGCTGCACGTAAAGCGCAGGAAAATCAAGGGGATGGAAGTGAACAGAAAAAAAGAAGTTGCTGTATTTTGCTCTAACAAACATAAAACAACTCGTATAGCTCCTATAATGAACTGTTCAACTCCTAATTGCAAAACCTGAGTAAGAGAAGTGTATTTATATACATACATATGTACATCCATATATACATACAAATGCGTGACATACACATACATATGCGGAAGAGTTTTCTGACACTTTACAGTGAATTGATACTAAAAATAAATATGGAACAACTGCATTGAGAGCGCGTAACTTAAATGTTATTTAATAATTACAATATTAATAGATGTAAACTTTGTACTTTTTTCCATCAAACTACTAAATTTGTAATGCACTGGTATATAATTTGTACGTTGTAACTAACTAATTTATGTTGCAATATTTATTCTGATTCAGAAGAAACAAGTTTCCTACAGTGCACAAAATTATATTATACTTATATATATAAATAAACTTATTTTTAAATTTTTAATTGATATTAGAGTGCTGAAATATACACAATTATTTAATTAAAAAAAGAGAGTTGGAGAAGGTGAAGAAAAAAAATTAATGTGTATGTATACATACATGTGCATGTAATATATGTTCATGTATATATACATTACACATGTATGCACAATATTTTGTGATTTCGTTTAATGATGGTTAATAATTAAAAAAAAAAAAATAGTGTTGCAAATATTTATTATGAAGACGCTGTAACTGATTTTATTTGCAAATAAAATTATTATATATTCATCGATGCATTTTGTATATTTCTTTAAAACCTTAAATGATTTCAGCACTCTTATTCTATGTTATCATCTATTAATAAAATGTTAATATATTCGAGTTGTTTAAATTATTTGCTCTATAATAAGGCAGTCATAGCACTGTAAAGTAAAGAAGACACGTGGTAATTTGCCCGCAGTTTGCTTATCATTTGTAGTATTTTGTAAGACCAGCTTACAATACAGCTAGGTACAAATATAATACAATTTATTATTTTTATATTAAAATATTTTTATGTCCTGAATGTGCAGATGCAAATAGAATGACCGTATTTACATTTACAACAAACGACAAAAAACTTGGATTTTGATTTTCAAAAAAAAATTAGTTTTATATTTAAAAATAATATAATTTTGAATTATGATAAAATTTAAGAATGGTTTTACATATTTGTATCTAGATTGAACATTATCTTCTTTTAGATGCATTTTAATATGCTGTATGTAAACTATATATATAACTATTCTGAGTTAAATGAACAACTTGCCTTTGATTATATTTATTAATTTTAGAGATCTTTGATTAAAAGATCATTAAATGTATGTATTTCATAGCACAATTTATTATTCAAGAATGCACATTCTTGTTGTTAAATGAATAATTGAATTGTATGAAAATTATTATTATCTATAAATTAATAGCTTTCAATAGACTGAGAACATTATTAATACTATCTGAAAGACTTGAACCTCTATGAGGTGCATTTATTCATGGAAAAATAACAAAATCTTGATATTATATTTACATTTTACAACTCTATATATATATATATATATATATATATGTATATGTATACACATGTATGTACTATTAAGTATTGAAATTTTATAAAATCATTATGATTTGGAACATATTTATAATGACATTTTAGAAAGTAAGTAATATTTTTTCTTGCATTTGCGTTTTGATATTTTTGTACTGTTGAAATTAATTGTGCCTTTTTAAGTGTTCACACAATGAAATTAATAGAGTTGTTTCAAATAGTTTTATCAGTACGTATAAATTAGAATAAATTTTATCTCACGAATATTTATATATGAGATATATTACACGTTATAATTATATGTAAACAGATGAGTTACACACAATTTACACACAACTCAGTTACATATAATGCAAGTTACACAAGTTATCTAACACATGTAAGTTAAATCATTGTTTATGTAATTATCATGCACTATTATCATCATAATTTAACTATATATCTATAGTTTTTAATAAAAGATATTTTATATAAGTTGGAGCAGTGTTGCATATTTTGCATCATGCGTTTTAAAGTATAATTGGAAATGCATTACGAATTATTAAATTAGTTAAAATATATAAGATAAGCGTAATGTGAGTGCAATATTATATATATTATTTTGTCTGCACAAAATTAAATAAATAAGTTAAATAAAGAATCTTCATCTTTTAATAGTATAATTTTCTGTAAACCATAATAAAATTTTAAATGCCCAAGTTTTTGTATAGTCATTTATATGTACTTTCCAAACACCCACTATATAAAAGAATGGACAAGTTGATGACACAGATATCCAATCAGAAGTTCAAACGTATAGAAATTTTTCGTTGTCACTGTGGTTCGTTGTTCAATGCCCAAAGTTACTGCGGATCGTTTGTCAAATAATCGAAAACATGAACATAAAAGTGTCATGTTTGAGTGAAGACGTTTAATAAAAAAAAAAAAAAAAACAAAAAATATGTTCGAGGTTAAGTAATATTTTTTAAAATTGGAGAATGTGACTGTAATGCATAATCGTGGAACTCATTATCTTTTTTTTCTCGTTTTAGGCAAAAAGTAATGCATTCTATTTTTGTTGATAGAATTTCATAGAACTATCATAAAATGAGTAGCATTAAATTCGATGTACAGTGGTCTCCAGTTCATGCAAATAAATTTATCACATGGGGTACAGAAATTTGTCTGTACGAGGTAATACAAGTAAAAGACAATAGTAGACAATTATGTGAGTAAATTCTACCTTATGTAAAATGTGTTTTACATAAGAAAAAAGACTGTTATTCCGTGTCTTATATTTTTTTTCTGCATACAGACACGAAGATCTCTGATACCACTGTTGCTCATTTACTTGCGACAAATACCAATCAACATTATGTCAAATGCGTCGATATATATCCACAATTGGAGCCAGATATTCTATTAGCTGTTGGACAAGCGAATGGAAAGATTGTTTTAACTACTTTCGGTTCGACGATTTTTGATTCTCAAGGTCTTAGTGGAAAAGAATTAGGTAAATTGCCTCAGTAAATTTGCTGTATACTTATATTTTACTTGGATGTATAAATTGTTACAGTCCCAAAACATGCGAGACAATGTAATGCAGTTGCTTGGAATCCCGTGGACACAAATTTAATTGTGTCTGGCTTAGATAAACACAGTAAAGACCATTCCATTTTATTATGGGATGTAAACAAAAGTTTGCAGACCTCTGAAAGAATACATCACCATAATGCAGTACAGATAGATTCTGTGAGACCTGTGACGGAAGCTTGTGTTTCAGAAACTGTACATTCTATTTCTTGGTTTAAACACGAGCAAAAGTGTATTGTAGTTGGCACTAATAACAAACAATTAAAAATCATTGATTTCAGAGGTATTATCATAAAACCGTTTTATTTCGTCGTCTTTATACATATAATTTGCTTTGTATATATTAAATTGTTTTACATTAGATTCTGCAAAAATAGTCAACACGACAGCTACTAAGGCTATCTACAATGTATCAGTGGATCCGCACAATAATTATCATTTACTTTCGAGCGTTGATAATCAGATAATAATTTGGGATACAAGGTGTTTTGAGAAACCTGTTTTGACCTTGTCACAAAACAGACAAATTGCAAAAGTACTATGGTGTCCGACTAGGCATAATCTTTTGGGAGCTTTACAGAAAGACTCGGGTAAAATATTATATCAATTTCCTTATAATGTAATTATAAATTTGTTTAATAACAATTGACGTTCTTAATAAAGCGACACTGCATCTATATGATATTCAACATTGTGGGATTGGAGGAGGAGAAGATACAGAACCTGGAGCATTAGAAAGGACGGTTGCTCCATCATGGCATACTCCTATAAGCTTTTCATGGCATCCAACGCATGTGAATAGATTGTTGGCAATATCTCAACAAGGTCTGATAATATTATACAGTTAACTTAAACACATTCTAGGCAAACATATTTCTGATATTGTTTTATCTTTTTAAAGGACTTGCAGATTATACAGTTTGTGAAAGGATTACAGTAAACTGGTCAACACGATCCCACCTTGCTTGGAATCATGCTTCAAAATCATTTAAATATATATGGAGCAACGATAATATTTACAAAGCCCTAAACGACATTTCTATTTTAACCAAAACACGCGCTGTTTCGGAATATGGCTTACTTGTAAGTTGAAGAAATTTATAATTTATATCATACAAGACTTTTTAAGATCTTTGTTTATAGCCAGAACTGGCTCAAAATGGTGAACTGGCTGAAAATGATACTCTTAAAAACCTATGGCAGTGGTTGTACTTAAGTCGCTATTTGGTAGAGGATGGCACTATCCCATGCGCAGATAACAAACATCCGGGTGTCAGGTAAATTAATAATTTTCTAATAATATATATTGGAAAATTCACGAAATGATATTTGTTAATGTTACATAGAACAGTTTTAAAACTAGATGATCAACAAGGATCTAGCAACGGTTTCTTGAAATCGGAACTAATTCATCGCCCTTGGTCAGATATAGGATCTAATCACACTGCAAAAATCTACAGGTATGAAATATCTGTATAATGTATCACATTGAAGTTTTATGACATGATTCAACGTTGCAGATCTGCAGACAGAGATAAAGGATTGCTTTTATGTGGTTGGAGATTTGACAAAGATACCAATAGTCTTTATGATAATTTATTCTTAGAAAGATTAGAAAGAGAGGGAGCATATCCAAGAGCAGCAGCAATAGCAGTTTTTAATTTGTGTTTACGGCAAGCTATAGAAATCTTGAATCGAGGAGCTACTAAAATGTCGATGTCTACGAATTTAAATATTGTTGCCATGGCTTTGTCAGGATTCTCCGAGGATAGGAATAGCATGTGGAGAGAATCGTGTTTGAAATGTAGATCTCAGCTCACGGACCCTTACTTGAGAGCAACTTTCGCCTTTTTAACTGCAGATGATTCCTATGAAAATGTCTTGGTAAGTATACATCTTTTCTTTCTTACGGAAATAAACTTATAGTTTATGTGTAAAATGAGAAAAATATATATTTATAGAATGAAAGTGGCATGGCAGTTGAAGACCGAGTAGCATTTGCACTTATGTTTTTATCAGATAACAAGTTAAGTGAATATTTAAAAAAGTTAACTCAAAAGCTGACTGACGAAGGAAATTTAGCGGGTTTTCTTCTAACAGGTTTGTACAATTAACATATTCTAACTACAATATTTGCTTAGTATCCATTCCATTTTAGGTGCCAGTTTAGAAGGCATACAATTATTAAATCGATATTTAGAAATTACCGGCGATGTTCAAAGCTGTAGTCTGATAGCTATTAGAGCATTCACACCAACCTTACTGCAAGAAAACCCAGTTCAAGTTTGGATTACAAGGTATGACGAGAAACAATGTTTATTTGAAACGATTGTAGAATGTAAATATAACTTCAAGAATTTAAATAAAAGTTATAGAAATCTTTTAAACGCTTGGAAAATGTGGACTCAGAGGGCTCATTTTGATATCGCAATGCGATCTGCGACGAATGAAAAACCTCCACAGCAAATATATGTTTCCTGTAATTTTTGTGGTAAAAGTATATCCGCTTTTATGCAAGGTCTGAGTAGAGCGAGAGGGCCTTTTGGCAGGTTGGGAAGTACACCCAATAAATTGAAGGTAACACATTTTCATGTGGATATTTAATAAAACGATGAATGATTTGTCAAAATAATATTGTATTTTCATTTTTTTATAGATGTCTTCATGCCCGAATTGTAGAAAACCATTACCACGATGCGCAATATGCTTAATGCATATGGGCACCGTAAGTGGATTGCAAATGACAACATCCAACGTCAACAGAAACGAAGAATGTGACAATAAACTGACAGAATTCAGTAACTGGTTTACGTGGTGTCAAACATGTAGACATGGCGGTCACGCTGATCATATTACGCATTGGTTTCGGTAATACAATCAATTTTCCTGCGATTTTTACATAAACATATCTTATTTACATAAACAATATAACATATCTTATTTAAACAGACAACATTCAGAATGTCCAGTAACTTCGTGTACATGCAGATGCTTTTCTTTAGACGCATCGTGTAAAATAGCAGTGGGTATAACATGAATGAAAGTCATAGATTCTGGGAGTTTTCGATAATACTGACTATATACCGTTACAGTTTTAGGACTTCGTTTTGTATATTTCTTGGAAAAGTATGAATATTAAAAACAAAGGTTAACGAATCTTGCGTCTTATTAATGAGATACTACTTAATTTTGTCATATAAAGATAATTGTATTCTTATAAAAAGTTCCCAAAAAAATTTACACACAAGTTTTACAGCTGTAAGTTTAGAATCCTTTCGAATCCTCGGACATCTTCCACTTTCCTGGTCCTAATACATTCAAGATAACCAAAAGTTGACTGTATTGGTCGGCATCTGTAATGAACACTTTCCTTGCTTTCTCGTGTCTCACGATACATGAGTATGTAAGCTTAAATTAAAATTTACCAAAATCCTCCGTCATACTCAGTGGAAATACCACGTAATTGCTGCAGTTCATTGTGGTCGAGGATTGTAACGTGCCATGTACTTCTATGTAACCCTCAGCCTCGCTGTCAATTGGTTCCGGTAAAGTTACGTTCACTTGCACACCATCGGTTGTCCTCAATTCTAAATTTTTACCATTTGAACTTTTCTACAAGTCGAAGGAAAGTTTAACGAATTAACGTGACTAGTTTTCGTGGGGCGAGTCTACAGATGAAGAGCAAACGTTGACCCTGCATCAACGTGAAATAATTCTTACTTTACCAATAGTCCCAAGTAAAATCACTTGGTTGCCAATATTTTGCCCCAGTCGACGACCATCGATACGCTTTTTTATCATTTTTATCCTTGTTAAACAAGAGTGCGTCACTTCTGAAACATATTTTGAAAATTGTACTGGTACTTTAACGACTTGAACGTAGCGTTTCAAGCAGTACAGTTATTAGACTTAAAACTAAAACACTAGATTCAAGCTGAGCTATGAATTGGTAAATAAAATTATAGAACGCACGTTCTTATCAATTTTCTAATTAATTTACAAGTGAACACGCATGTCGAAATTTGTAACGATAATGCGTGTTTAGAAATTTTACATTCTCTTCTCAAATTATCGTAAGATTGAAAAGTTCGATATTTCATTATACTCCAACTTGTATTTCAGATTGAACACCTTCACACATCGAATTAGATAGCAATTGCTAAAGTGCGGTGGATTCTTTTCTTGTAACGTTGGCCAACATTGGTTCATTGGACGAATACACGCAAGCAGTTTTGAGCTCTGCCCTCTAAGATTTTTTGCTTCTATGTACATTGCGTGCAAGCAGCTTCTTCCATTCGTTTTTGGGTATACGTTACGCCTTGTTGCATGAATGATTCTCAAAAGGATTCTCATGTTACTTTCGTTACTTTGCGCCTAGTACTTGTACAAATAGAAGTACGAAAGTTGCAAATAAGCCATTGAGCCAAGGTAAATATTTCTAATAATGCGTAACACGTTGAAATATATCGTCGACGTCTTATCGACGGGATAACAATGGCTGCAATGCGACATTTAAAATTATTTCTCTCATCCGCTAACGTGTGCTGTTTGTAGCTAAATTTTCTGCGATGAGTTGAAAGCTATTGGGATTCGACGTGTGAACATTATTATCGTCGTGGAAATTGTACGACGCGCAATCACGTTATCAACGTGTATTTCGTCATGTATCTGCGAATAAAGAGCTCTTGTAACATAACCTGATATATTGATTATATGTATGGCGAATGTACTTTTGCAGATTGAGGTTATAAAGAAATGGAACAAGAATCAAGGCGTAAAGGGCCGAGGAGTCCTAGTGCAGACTCGGAGGATTCTTCTCACAGAAGGAGATCAAGAAAATATGATAGATCTCCATCACCAAGAAGAAGCAGATACAGGAGATCGCGTTCCAGGGACAGAAGATCGCGCTCCAGTTCCAGGGATAGAAGGAGGAAAGACTCTAGCCGTTCGCAGCAAGACTGGAAACAGCAAGCTGCGTCTCAGTCTCAAGCTTCTACCCCGAATCCAGCTAATCCTGGCGGTTATGTTCCAGCAGTTCATAATCAGTACCAGGTAAATCTAACACGAACCAGAAAGAAGAAAGAAAAGAGAGAAAAAATATAAAAGGAGGAAACAAATGATTATATGATTTATTTGATAGGCACCACCACCTCCGAATACCAGTCAGCCGCCACCCCCTTTGCCAGCTTACAACCAAGGGTACAATAACTACAATTACAACTACGGACAAGGCTACGACTACAGTTATCAGCAGCCGACTAGTTATCGCAGTGTAAGTTTTTTGAAAGAGCCATGTTAGTTGAAAGGAGGAGTATGTTGTATGAGAATGATCAGCTTATGATTATGATTGAGATTGTATTGCTTTTATGGCAATACAATTGAACTTTATCGTATTTGGAGCATTACCTATTCGTAGGTTTACTCTCGTTACACGAGTTTGTAAAAAATAATTACGAAGTTGTTGCAACAACGTAACGAGCTACCAAAATGTTTTTTAATAATATTTGGTAGTACCGCTCATTTTTTTGGGGGATGAACACTATGTTCTTTTGCATCGCGAAGTATTGTGAATCCCCTCGTAAGTATAACGTTCGCGTTGTTTATTTTATTGGCATCGGCATTGGAAACCAGTATTATTGACCAGATGATTCATCTTCAAGAATCTTCCGTGTATTATCCAAAGTTCTGATTTGAGTATGGACAAATGAAGGTAAGGTTCGATAGAAGTATTGTTTGAGTATTTGACATCAAATGTATATTTATTTTGTTAGGATTACCCACCACCAAATTGGCAGGGGAGTCAGGTAGCTTATAACAATCAACAACCGCCACCTCCCCCCACATTAACATCTCAGCAAGAATCATCAAGACCAGTTGATAGTGGCTCCTCTGGATTAGTATCGTCCTTGGCAAGACCAGAAGATGCCAAGAAAGAAGGTGAATTTTCATTACTTTATTTTCATAAATATTTATTAATTAAGGTATCCTTTTAACACATCTCTACATTCTGCTGCCCAGCAGCAATCGCAGCTGAGGTAAAGCAGCAAAAAGCAACTTTGGCTAAACAGCGTGAAGAGTATGTTAAGAAATCTACTACATTGCAACGCGAATTGGAGATTCTGCGACAACAATGCGATGAGATCGGTAAAGAAGGTGGACGGGAGAATAACCGTATTATAAAAGAAAATCAAAAGTTGCAGGTATACAGTCATCACGATTATCATACGGAGTAAGATATTTTAATACCATTTCGTTCTATGTTGATTCTCGATTTGCAGATTGAGATACAAAATAAAATGAAATCGATACACAACGTGATCGATATGCTTACCGGAATTATAGGGGACAAAGCTACTGTTGACGATCTAAAAAGCAAGTTTAAATTAGAAATTAACAAACGTTCAAGAAGTCCCAAGGAAGACTTTCCGAAAGGAAAATCAGAGTCGCCCGACAGATCATCGGCATCCGACTCCGACAAGGAATCCAAAATTGAAAGGGACACGAAAGAACGAAGGTCTCCCGAGGATTCTAAACCTATGTACAATTTCGTACATTATGATCCAGAAATGCATTGGTGTAAAGTCTGCGATATATTTCCTAAAACGGCAAAGGAATATTTGAATCATCTGCATAGCAATGAGCACAAAGAAGCTTGCTTAGTAAGTTGCCCACTATTCTAACGATAGAGTCTCTAGTAAAACTCATTCAGCTCTGGTATAGGTACTTTCAGTTAATTGAATGTAGAAAATTTTTAATCGAGGGTATCGTATTTTCACGAATAACTTTTATAATCATTAGAAACAGGATGCAGAAAAATCTAACTGATAATTGATTTACATTGTGAGAGAACAAATGGATTCGGTTAAAAACTATGTATTTCTAATTTGAACTATATTTGTATAAGGATGATATATTACAGTAACGATCAACCTACAGGTACTTGATACACAGTCTGATTGATGTATCATAACAATGTCTCATTAAAAAGTACCACTGAATATTCGTACAGTACATGTTGAAAGCATTGTCATTATTAACATCGTGTTCCCTGCAACAGGAACGCAAGATAGTTGATATGCCGTGGCATGAGCGGAATGGAGAAGGAACGGAAAAGGAAGTGCCCTATTATCCTGGACTGCCAACGAAAAGAACACCTATCAAAGGTATGGTTCATTTCAGTGGATAATTACTAATAGAATACAATTCCGTAGCTTGTGCACAGACACTGTGGTGTCCGGTATGTATTGAAGAGATCTCTACGACTATGGTTTGCTCAAAAATTTGTCTGCATTAGCCGAACTATGTGCGCGAAAGAAAAGATAAAATCAGGCTTTAAATATTTCTCTACTTTCTCCTTTTCATTTCAAATTATTCAAAATGATATATACGTCTCAATCTATCTGTCATGGTAACAAATCATTTTACAAATTTATTATGCGGAATACTCTTTTTTTTTTTTTTACTTCTTCCGTGAAGTTTGCGCAATGTTAGCGCACGTTAGTGCACATCGCAGTGTTAGCAGCAAAATTTTGTAGCAATGATGTAAACACCATAGAGATGCACTGGACTTTTTAAATGGACTCGAGGAGCACACTTTCGGGCGGTTTCAGATATTTCAGCTTCTGTAATTGAACTATTTAAAATTATTCCTCGCAAGTGTATTGTTCGTCGATTCATCGCACGTAGGTCCATTTACAGTCAAGAATGAACAAAGGAAGATTTTATCAATGTGAAACATATATCAATATAAATCAAATTATTATAATGCTGGTGCGTGTATAAATACAAATAACATACATAGTTATATGGAAATGTGTAAATTGTGATATTCGCTCGTGTCACTTATTTTATTTAGCATATTTGTTACACTTACGATAATAAAATACATTTATGATATATATATATTATAAATCGAAATATTTTTGTGAAACGTACTGTAAATGCCAATTTGTTTTTTTTTTTTTTTAAGACAGAATTTAAAGCAAAATAACAGCTCAATTTCAGTTTTTAATGATTAGCAAGAATTACAAAAGAAAAAAAGAAAAAATACATAAGGCAGTTGCAGTATGTGTAAAAGTTCTACATTATGTTGCTTTATGTAATTTATTATTTTCATTTTACTTGTAATATCTTTGTGGCATATTTTATATGAATAAAACATGATTTTCTACCTGTCCTCTCTTTCTTCTAGACTTCAACGTGGGAGATTACGGAAGAATATTTAATATTGTCAACCGTTTATTGAGCATCCTTTAATGTATATTTATTTTTTGTTTTCAGTGACATGAATGTGTCGTGGCAGAATATAAGGTCATTCTTTATGAACTTAAATTGTTTACCATTTTCAAAGCTTAAGCAATGCTGAGCGCTTCATTATTTGCTTATAGGTTTACAGTTCTTCAGCGCTGCGACAGCATGGTACTGCAAGCTCTGTGACTCTTGGATCGGGGATCTACATTGCGCGAGTTTGCACCTGAAGTCTAAACAGCATTCAGAAAATTATTCTGTAAGTTCTTTGATCTAAATTCCGTATGTCTGGGGGATTGAAGTAATGTAAAACTTATTGCATAATGTTTTTATCCAGCACTTTGTCGAGCAAAATCCACATTGGGAAACCGATTGGATGGCAGATCGTGAAAAGGCGTTCTCCGAGGAGAAACACAAACAGATACAATTGGAATTGCAGAAGCACAAAGACGATGATCCGCCGCCAAAGTCGAAGAAGTCAAAGAAGTCGAAGAAGAGCAAGAAAAAGTCTAAGAAGCGAAGGAACAGAAGCAGCGGCAGCGACAGTTCCAGCGAGTCGGAGAACTCTGACACAGACTCCGACCAGGACATGTCCAAGAGCATCCGTGTCGCTATGCGTAATAAAATGAAAGCGTCGACGCAGGCTATACTGAACGAGGAGATCGACTATCATCGGATAAAGTTGAAAGGGCACTGGTCGAAAATGGCGCAGCATCTGAATCAGCCGCCAACTCCGGAGCCCCAGCCTGTAGAGACTGACGAGAGACAGTTGTTAAACTCGATCAGAGACAAATTGAAAGCGAAACAAGAGGAAGAGATGAAATCTATGAGCAATCGAAGGTTGAGCCAGGAGAAGACGATCGAAGAAGAAGAGGAGGAGGAACAGGAGCAGGCTTCTTTCTCCAACAAGTCGAAACCGGAAAGCTTAGAGGCCTGGGGACCGAAGGAACCTCCCAAGCCCTTTTGGATAAAGAAGGAAGAGGAGAAGCCACAGCCCATAGCCAACAAGCCGATCGAACTGCCGAAACCGGAGGAGATGCCCAAGCCGCATATGGGATTCTGGACGAAGCAGCAAGTTAACATGACCGTGAAACCGCCTGAGAATAAATCCATAGAAAAGGAAGACGACAGGGAGCGAGAGAGTGATAGATACAAAGATGATCGGGACAGGAAGTACGACAGACGGGAGGATAAATACGATCGATACAGCAGTAGGTACGAGAGACGACGGGGACGAGACAGAGATCGTGATCGGGACAGGGATAGGGACAGGGACCGAGATAGGGACAGGGATAGAGACAGGGATAGGGATCGGGAAAGGGATTATTACGAGGATCGAAGGAAACGGGACAGCAACGATTCTCCGCGTCGCGAACGAAGCTGGCGCGACAGTCCAAAGAGAAATTACGACAAATACGGTAAAGACAGGAGAGACGATAACTCGTCGAACGACGAGTCCAAGTTCGAGAAGAAGACGAACGAATCCGCGTCCAAGTCCAAGAAGGGTAGTGTACAGACTAAAAAGTCGGCGCCACAGGTGTCGAAAGGTAAATTACCTTTCATTGGCAGATTACCGTTGTTTAAGAAGAAAGCCGAGGAACCAAAATTGCCCGAGAAAGATATTACCCCACTCCCCTATCAACAGAGTAAATTCGAAGATACGCCGAAAGTTCCCAACGAGATCATAAATCCACCTGGTGTCGTGCATATTACCAAGCTTGCAACACCAATAAATCTGGGTAATAATAATAACAATAATAATAATAATACTAATACTAATATTAATATTAATACTTCTACTACTACTACTAATAATAATATTAGCAACAGTAATAATAATAATAATAATGGTACTATTACTACCACAGCAAACAACAATAATGCTGGTAGTACAAGCATTGCGCCTCAAACTACCAAAAATCAACCAATGAAAATACTGGTAGCTCCGCCACCGCCAGTGCTGAATGAAACGAAACCTACACAGCAGGTAGTCGACATGGAGATTGAAGATCAGTCCGAGGAAACGGTGATAGAAGAGCCAATAATAGAGCAGCAGAAACAGACACCTAGTATATCCAAATTACCTCTGCCTCCACATCCTCCACCTCCTTTGAACAGACCGCCACCATCTTTCTCAACTGCGTCGCAACAACAGCAGCAGCCGCAGCAGCAGTCACAACAACAACAACAACAGCAACAGACAACTGTGCAGAGCAGGCCACAATTCTCTACGAACCGACCTCCACCGCCGTTTATAACTAATCCACCACCATTCGTTCAGAGTCAGCCACGATTCCCTCCTCACCAACCAGTACGTCCACCGGTACAAAGTCATCCCCCGTTCATGGCGAACCCGCCACCGCAGATGCCTGCTGTCCCTCCTTTCGTTCAGAATCATCAGAATCCACCACCGCCTCCCCTACCGACCGTGGAGAACGCCACGCAGGATATTTCCGACATCCCGGAACCCACTGAGAAACGAACTGACCCAAGTATTCCTCTGCCTGACGATCTGCAAGAAGCTCTAAACATCATATTCCCGAAGGAGGAAACGGAAACGAAACAACAGAGTCAACAAGAAAGTAACATTATGTATTCGTCTATGTATAGTATGTTAGGATGTGTTGGATACGGGCCAGAATACATGGATCAACCACCGCCTGAAATTACTCAGGCGGAGACGGAAGTAGATACTCAACCTGGACCAGACGACTTGAAGATGTTAGGAATTGACGAAGGAGATACAATCCTATGAAACTTTTTATAAATTCACAATGCTCTCCAACTCGCGAATGTTTTTTTGATAAGGATCTAGCGTTAAACTCTAAGTCACTTTAACTGTGTATCCTCTACTCCCGGTCTTTTCTTCAAAACGATTGTTAATTGTAAATTGCTGCATAAATATCACGATGAACTTTTTGGTGTAAAATTTATATGTTAACTTCGAATATTATATAACCATGTAGACTAGTATCTTAAATAGGAAATAGTAAATGTTTCTCATTATACGTCAGCAATGGATCAGTTGATACTAGGATGTTGCCTTGATATTTCGAAGTTTGCGAAATATTTACTATTTTTTATTAACTATACTGTTCTCATTTAATCTCGATTGAAGATGTTTCAAGATTCTTATGAATTTGTAAAAACAATCATTAGTGTCATACAATTATTTTTTATTAACACCCACACAAACACATATATATATATATACCTTAGGTATATATACTTAAATTTATGTACGAGTATTAAAAACACCATTTTAGATATGTAAGTAATCAGTCTTTTAGTTCTCTGAAACAGATTTGGACGTTATTACAAGCAGCATAAATACTGTGTTTAGAAAACGAATTTGAAATGTACATTTGATTTATGAATAATATTCCATTAATAAATGACAAAATTACATGAAACAAGAGTTAATGTCGTAGAATTAAGGGATGAGCGAAGAAAGATGAACACGACCAGTTTTTCGTTGCATTCAACTATGCTTTGTTTATTTTTTTCTTTTCTTTGAATTTTGTTGTTTTCTCACTTGAAAATTATTTTGTAGATTCTTTTAAACGCTATATCACATAACTCGACCCTGAAGCGCACAACCCTCCATATAATATATAATTTAATGGCATGATTTCGCCAGTAATGCTAAATACGAAATATAGGTATTGCATGGCACCATACATAGCATGAATCATATATCAGACATAAGTAACATGCCTAATGCTGCTATGCAGTATTGTCATACTTCTTGAAATGTCGCTTAATTTAACAGTCGTTTTGAGACAACAATATTTTTACTACATCACAATGAAACGATTAATAACAGACTTCAAACTATTATATATGTACAGGGCACAAAAATGACCAGTGATCAACTAGCTTAAATTTTAAAACTTAATTGTTGAGACATCTCATGCATGAAATAAAATAACACTCCATTTTTATGATATTTATTATACTTTCTTCTTCTTTTTTCTTTTTAAATGTCATTTGATATCATGCATGATCCCAAAAGCGTCTTTTATTATATGCAACAAGTTGAGATAGTTATATATCTTTTATGAGTGAAGAGTACCTAAATTTAGATACGCGAACGGCTCAAAACTATTAAAATTATCGTTTAATATTAATTTTAAGCCCTGTGATTTTAATGTGTATAAATATAACATGGAATAAAATGTCAAAAGAGTGTCACTTTTTAATCTTCAGATCTCCGTTTTTAGAAAACGTTCGACGAATGTATCGGAATATATTGGAATGATACCTCATGGAATGAACTATAATCTAAGCTGACGTGCACTGAAATCTAATTTCACTTTGCGTAATAGAGTTGCACAAAAATCCAATCGTCGTTCCATTATTTTGAAAATAGTACAGAGTGCATTAGATCTGCAATACGAGGCCCGCGCTTGAAATGTTGTCTCCGCCACCAGCAGTTTGCGCTGCTTCGGTGCAAACCAATACTGGTGCCACACATACTTGAATAACAACATTCTTGCTTTCTATCTTTAATGTTTCGTCCCAGCAGGACACTGGTTTGTTAATATCTAACGCTATCCGGGTGCCATTAACGATAGATGTCGAGAAACTATCGTCTAAAATCAACGCGGCTTTGTTAATGTCGACCTAGAATTTCACAAGTTCATATATACACGTTGACATTGTAATTTCATAGTTGAAGAAGTACAATCATATATACTTACGTGGCTCGTCGCACACACGTGTCTGTGAGCCGTTAGTGATGCTTTGGCCGCCGCGGCCATTGTGTTTTTCCACATAGAGCCTTTTACAGTGAATATAGCTTGGTAGGCTAGCGTGTGCACGTGAATCCTGGTTAGTTCCCGAGAATTTTCAATAGTTTTGCTCCTCGTGTGTATCAATTTCAATAATGTTCGCATCTGATCTAAAACCGTCGCTATACGTGGCGTTGAATTCGCCACTAATGAAATATTCCCGTAATACATTGCGTTATACAAGTTGGCTATTTCTTGCTCGTTCATTCCCAGGCTATCGGCGAATGGAATAATTGTGTCGCAAAGCTCGAAAAGTAGTTTGTCTTCCACGAACGAGGCCATTTCGAAATGAATCTTAGTCGATGCGGATCGATCCGTCATCTGCCTTTTCACTCCGTGTAAAAGTTTCTGTCTATCGCCTGCGATTCAAACAAATTTGATTTTTTTAACGCGTACAAGTATAAGTTATTCTTAAGCAAAACTTATACAACTAAGAGTAAAGCTTTAATTACCATCTGGAAATGGATAATTATCCATCATTTGTAGACCGCTGATAACAAGTAAATTAGGCTCGTCCTTTAATAGTACCTTATCAAATGCATCAAGCGAACTAATCCTAGGGTTATTGGCATCATTGTGAACTATGTATCTAAAAAGTTAGTTGTAATTATAATCTAATGTACAGTGCCTTGCGAAGTTTTTTTTTAAATATCATACCTGTTAGCTCTAGCACTGGAATATGGACCCCAAATATCTCCGTGTTTGTACTCAATTACCAAATGAATGTCGTCCCTCTTCACTTCACCACCTACGATGTTAATAACCTGTGGTATCATTTGATGTAAAGATTTAGTTAGCTTTGCGGCGAGCGTCACGTCGCAGCCCTCTCTTGCAAACCTCAAGGCCATGATCGCTGCGTTACCACCGATGGTAGAATATGAAGATGAAAATGACCGTGCTTTGGCAACAAGTTCGTCGAACAGTGTTCTGTTTGGCATGTATCTCCTAATACAGAAAAATTCAAAACATTGAGAGATTTGCAATTGCACCTCAGTGAAGCGTTAAACAAAAGGAGGGATGTTTTTTGTGAATGAGAAATGCAAGGATTCACTTGCAGATGACAATAAGCAAAAGTAAGACTCACTCTGCAGCGGCCCCATGGCGAAAGTAATAAGCAAAACTTTTTAAAAGTTCCAGCTCCGTGTTAATTTCGTCGTAGTGTTGCGGTTGTCCGATCTCGTCGGTGTAGCCGAGCAAATCCTTGGCGTTTACGTACACATCCGTGCAGACACCATAACCTATCGCAACTTTCGGCCGCGATGTCATCACGTGTTTGTTCTCAAGTTTCTCCAAGCCATGGATCAACGCTTGCAAACGTTTCTGTAGAATGTTGTCGGAGTTTCTGTAATAAATTGCGACTAGGACTATCAGCACAGTAAACGCCGTGCCGAGTTTTAATCCCCTGTTGTACTCCATTTCGTGTTTCAGCAACAACGAACTAAGCGCACTTGGCTTTAAAAGCGTAGTCAATGTAGAGTTGGCGCGTATTTTTCATTAGATCGTGACAAGTCAATTTTAATAGAGCGTAACGTTGTGTCATTCAGAAAAAAATTCAGTGTATTCAATGTATTTATTACATCGTAGGAAAAAACACTTTTACCGCGGCCGTCACATGTATACTTGGCTTTAGTTGATTGAACAAAAGTATTAATAAAAACAAATAAATTCATGCAACTATGTTTGTATTCAAACAGGAATAATATTACGATTACAGAATTAATATTAATTTTGACAAGAATATCCGTATCTTTTAAGTACTTGTAAAAAACGAAAGTTTAAGATGCTCGGCATATTGAATTTCATTATTATAGCGTTAAAATAACAAAATGTAATAAAATAATAATAAAATATTAAAAATCTAATGACAGTTCTAATAAATAATATATTATTTAAGTAATATACGTTTAATAATAATATACGTTTTAACATATGTTTCTTGCACATGGTTGTCACTTTGAACATCCTGCCGGGAAAGTATTAAAAAGCTAATAAAATAGGATTGTTAGGTATTAAATAAAGAGATAGAATTATCTTTATATATATATGTATATAATATATAAAAAAATATATAAAATATATACATAAAATAAATACTATTTTTTAAATAGTATTTATTTTTAAAAAATCAACACAATGATGAATGATTTAGAGCAATCATTAATTATAATTATTTATCTTTTAAAGGAAAAAATTCAATATATTCAATATATTCATTACATCATATATAAAATAATCTTTTTTAAAAGACTAATAAAATAGGGTTGTTAAAGTTGTTAGGATCTACAAAGAGATAGAGAACTATCTTTATATATATATATATATTTTTTTAAATAGTATTTATTTTTAAAAAAACAACACAATGATGAATGACTTAAAGCAATTGAATTGATTTCATTCAACATGGAATTTCTTAGAAGACGTGACACGTGTGAATCTGAAAAATTTTAGATTCCAATTTAGGAATTCAATTTTATATATTTGTACAGTGGAATTATAACTTGCGATATAATGAAAAAAAAAGGAAGGCTTACGATACTGATTAGTACAAATACAGAGAAAAATATGGTAAAATATTGCAGCTGCGTCCTTTTCGAAATTTTCATTGCTGGTAGCAGTTCTTATTTACTTAGGACGTGGGGCATGTTTCTCTCTTCATAAGAGCAGTGCTGTTCAAGACTGTGTTCGAGACTTTTCATAAGATATAAAAATATTCAAAATTTATATAAGTATATACCAATCACATACATGATTATAAACATAATTCATTCGAAGGAGTGAATCAGGGGGGAGTCATAGATTGAATTATAGTCGTATCATAGATGGACTATAAAAATGGAAGCTTTTAACGTCGACTTCTCTTTACTAACGATATACGTAGGTTCCAATTTCACGTTGAAAAGATTCCAAGTCCACAGTATCTTTCCAAAGCCTTTTCATCGTCTCGCGTTGCTCATTCTTTGTTCTTTGTATGAAGACGCATGTGTTTCTTCAGATTGTCGAGTCTGTTGCACCGCCGATCACAGAAATCGCATTGATAAGGCATTAAATTGCTATGCACTACCACGTGGCCGTTCAAGTGGCTAATTTGCTTGAACCGTTTGCCACAGATGGTGCAAACATATGGCCTTTCGTTCATATGGGCCGACGCGATGTGCGTCTGCAGATTCGTCTTCCTCACGAACGTGGCTTTGCACACGTCGCACTCGAACGGCCTCACGTTCGCGTGAATGGCCAGGTGAGACTTAAGTACGTTCTTGTGCTTGAAATTCTTCTCGCACAGATGACACTGAAATGGCCGCTCGTCGTTGTGCACCTTTTTGTGAACGGATAGGTGGGCAAGCTGCTTGAACATTTTCGCACAGATCTCACACTGATAGGTGCGCCCGTCCTCGTGCGCGGCGCTCACGTGCCGACGCAACGTGTCCGCCAAAGTGTACCTTTTCCCGCAGATTTTACAGCGGAACGGGCGCTCGTTCGTGTGGGTCATCAGATGTCCGTTCAGGTTCCTCTTCTCGAGGAATCGCGCGCCACACACGTCGCACTGGTACGGTTTCTCACCGTTGTGAACGTACATATGTTTCTTCAGAGAATTCGACAGGCTGAATCTCTTCTTACAGACCGTGCACTCGAATTTCCGTTCCCCCGTGTGCACCAGCATGTGAGACTTCACGTGCCCCGCTTGTTTGAACCTCTTCCCGCAGACGATGCACGGGAACTGGCGTTCGTGAGAATGTGTGAGTATGTGCCTCTCCAGAACGCTTTTCGTGGTGAATACCTTTTTACAGTTGTCGCACTCGAACAGACGGAACGTCTCTTTAGTCTTTGAAATGTAATCTTCTTTGTGCGACTGAGCGTGGACCTTCAGTGAGCCCAGCGACTCGAACTTCACGCCGCAAACCGCACAGTGGAAAGAGCGATAATCCTTGTGCGTCAGCGAATGCTGGCTGAGATGACCCAGCTGTTTGAAGCTCTTGTTGCAGATCAAACAGACGTAGGGCCTTTCGTTCGTATGAGATCTCATGTGCCTTTTCAACACGCTGGGAAAGTTGAACTTTTGATTGCAATACGAGCATTCTAAAGTTGGATCTCCGTTTATCTTCATTGACCGACTGTCGGGAGTGATCTTTTTTTTCTCCTTGAGAAGACTCAAACTCTTCGTCGCTTTTGTACAGTTATTCGCTTCGCTGGGTTGTGTCTCGTCTGCGTTCAACTCTGAGAAGCCTCTCAATTTAGGTGCTCTCGCGTCTGATATCACGTCGTCTTGCAAGTTTTTGCTTCTCTTACTTCTGCTCAAGTTGGACAGTTTACTTTGTTTGTGCGATTGCCTCATGTGTTTTTCATACAAGTTTAGAACGTGGAACGTTTTGTTGCATAGTTTACATTCAAACTTCTTCCCCTTTAAATGCGTTCTCATGTGATTCTTCAAGTGGCCAGGTTTCATGTACTGTTTCTTGCAGACCTTACACTTCAAGTCAGCTTGATTCTCTGCGTTCGACACTTTGTCGTCTATTCCCGATTCATCCTCAAATGCCAAGTCTTCTGCGTGCATGTTCAAAGGTTCGCTCTTAACATTCACGAAATTGAAATCAGGAGTGTCCCTTTGAAGTTCATCCTTGGTTTCACTACGAGAGTCTTCATCCTCGTAGTCATTGAACTGACGAATTAGAGTATCAATTAGTGTCGTGTACAAAAATAATTACATTATTAGTATCGTACTTACAGTATCTGTATCTCTGACGTTCGCAAAAGTTGAGTCCTCTATAAATTGTTGCCTATCTTCCTTCTTAACCTCGTCTTGATCGTTGGATAGCAAACCAATCCATTCTTCCTCGGCCCAAACATTATCCCTCGTCGAATTTATCACGTTAGTCCGTTTTTGGAACTCTTTGTGTACATTTCTCCCAAATAATATGTCGTACGGAATCTTTCCATTTTCACAACGGAACGTTGAATTTTGAAAGATTTGTATGTGCTTCAGAGCTTCGTGCCATGTCTTTGTCGGATTCTCCTCCACCCAACATTCAAGCAAGCTCTTGAAATCTCTGCTCTGCCCATTCCTCTCAGCGATCTCCCCGTGAAGTATCATAAAGTCTTTCCACAGAAGACGCAACTCTTGCACAACTTCTTTGGCAAATTTACGTCCATTGGCGCTTTGTAACACCTGCGGCGCCCCAATGATAGCCAGGATGTCCAACAGTTTCACGGCCACTTCGTTCGCTGTGTTTCCATGCAAACCTTTCAATACAACAAATCTGGATATTTGATCCTCGTAAACGAGAAAGTACTTGTAACTGCAAGTCAATTGTACCGGCATGTCTAACACATCAATTTGTCCTCTGTGATACAACTTTTTGTTCGCGGCGTTGCAATGTGAATTCATGTTTTCAATTTTGTGAGCGATTTGTAATCCTTTCAGGGGAATTTACGAATCATGAGATTTTATATAACGTTATATTTAAAAGAAAAAGGAGAACATGATCAGGAATAACGTGAGTAATTTATCACAACTTGTAAGTACATTTCGCTTTCTTCGGAGGTAAGAAGTTAAGTATCTCTGGGTAAACATTCATTTCATGTTTCAAAGATTTAATACTGATTCTTCTCGATGACAAGTATTTTAAATATTTTCCCTGGCGCATTTTTTACTTTCAATGTGTCCATTGCTCACTTTCTCAGCTCATTGGTGTTCACTGGAAAAATAAACAATGCGATATTTTCAGGAAACAACATAGATCATATCTGTAGAAAACGCGAAATGGTTATAATTTTTCAATTAAATATGAAACATACCGTACGACAATTCGTTAGCATTTATGCACGAAGAATACATCCTTTTTTCGCGCGTACGAGCAAAATTAGTATTCAAGCAGAATTTACATTTTTTTGAGTGTAAAATAATACAGTGTTTTAACCTATACGACTCTCCGTGAGATTTAGTTTATCTCGAAACTAAAAACTTCTGTATCCATTTTTTGTCGGAAGCCGTGGAAATCGGTTCATTTTCACGTGACAACGCTGGAAAACGCACGTTTCTCGGGCCCATTCATTTAACACTTAACTTTTGCTGCACAATTGTAAACTCTTATTTGTCATTTTCATAGCTCGAGTTCTCGTCGGCTCGTTAAAGTAGAACCCAACAATATCGGTAGCGATGTTTATTTGTCCACGTGTCGATAAACTTAAAGGCTGATTTTCAGCCGAGCTTTTCCTACGCGAAATGCAACTGATCTGTCAAAATATTTGCACACACTCAGATTTAAACTGAACATCTAAATAGAGAAATTGAAAATTTTACAAAACTTCTTTCTCGATCGATAATTACGTATCAACAAACATGTGGACGTATAATGGAACATAAAAAAAAAGAAAAAAGAAAAATCTCATTACTTTATTACTGACGAAATAAGGATATAAGGTTAAATATAATATCGTTATTCGTTTCGTATGGAGCGACAGTTCGATAATAATGCGACGTTTGTCCATCTTCGTATTATTTTGTCGATGACTATTTTTGAAGTCGTGTCACGAAGCGCGACCGTGTGACCACTCGCGATTGTGCTAATAAGTCCAAGATGGCCAGCGAGGTAAACGAAATTAGTGTCCAAGCGGCTGAGAATCTAACTGAGAACAATGAAGCGATCACTGGGAGAATACCGTCGACGTCCGAGGGCATGGTCCTTGCTTATGGAAGCCTGATAATTATGGCCATTTTGCCGATCTTCTTCGGTAGTTACCGAGCTGTTAAACACCATAAGGAGCAGCAGGTTAGCCACGCGTTTGACATATGTTTCGAACGCTTATATCGAGTGAAATTCTTCGAACTACCCAACGATTGATATCATAATTCATCACTAACTCACGAGATCCGAGCGATCTTTGTCGCAATGAAATTTGTCTTATTACGATAGAGTGGTATTCAAGGAGTTCACAGGTTGATAACTAGAGTTTACAATTAATCGTTGGGAGTCATAATGATGTATGTCAGTTACTTGCTTTTGCAGTAACATAGTTAAACTCGAGTTCCACAAGATCCTCGCTCTTGTTACTGCGATCTTTAATTTATCAGTCAATACTATATAATATATCTAACAGTTTGAAGGCTTCATTGATGAATTCGTTTGATTGCGTTGCAGCAACAGTGTAAAAAGAGTGGAGAACAACCGGATACAATGTCGCGCAAGGAGGCAGCAATATTTCCATTTATTTCTAGTATTACGTTAGTTGGATTGTATGTATTATATAAGGTAAGAAGTGAATGATTCTTGCATGAGACTTTCATTCAGATCAACTCAGAGCTATACCAATGTTTTTCAGATATTTGCCAAGGAGTTTGTTAATCAAATTTTAGCCGCGTACTTCTTTTTTCTTGGAATTTTAGCCCTTTGTCATCTTACCAGGTACGAATAATTTCAGACTACATTAAAGATATATTGACTATTCTTGAAATTACGTACTACTATGATTGCAGCCCATTAATCTCATCGTTGGTGCCTGCTGCAATCCCAAAAACCCAATACCATATATCATTTACTAAAGGGGAAGGTGACAAAGTAGAACATATTATTAATTATAAGTTCAATCTCCATGATATTGTTTGTCTAATATGCTGTTCGCTTGTCGGAACTTGGTATCTTGTGAAAAAGGTAATAACATAAGCAAAATTCTCTTTCGGTAAGAGTTAGCGTTAAGTAAAATATTTGTTTCAATTTTACAGCATTGGATTGCCAATAATTTGTTTGGCATCGCATTCGCAATTAACGGAGTTGAATTGCTACACGTGAACAACGTTCCAACAGGGTGCATTTTGCTTTGTGGACTGCTGTTTTATGATGCATTTTGGGTATTCGGTACGGACGTAATGGTAACGGTCGCGAGATCTTTCGAAGTACCGATTAAGTTAGTTTTCCCGCAAGATATATTGGAGAAAGGACTTACAGCCAGCAATTTTGCTATGCTGGGTTTAGGTGACATTGTCTTACCGGGTATTTTCATTGCCCTTTTGTTGAGGTTCGACAATAGCTTAAGCAGGAAGACAAACGTGTACTTCTATTCGACGTTCTTCGCTTATTTCATGGGGTTACTAGCGACGATGCTTATCATGCATTTGTTCAATCACGCACAACCAGCTTTGTTATATCTAGTGCCCGCTTGTTTGGGTACTCCTCTACTTTTAGCGTTGGCTAAAGGAGATTTGAAAGCGTTATTTTCGTACGTATCAACAAGCGTTTCACTTATGCATGCTTGTTCGAAATCCTCTTATCGTTAATGTTTTTTTTTCAGTTACGAGGATCATCCAGTTAATACGACGCAAACGGAACAATCCGCACAAACGCAAGTAGAAACAAAAAAGGACACATAATGCTCGTATTAATGTAAGGTGATTAATGTAAGAAAAATTTCAGCATTACGCTGTTATCGATTTAAATTTATCGTATGTAAGAAAGAAAAAATAATAATTTGTCTTGTGCTCAAGCTGTACAATCATGAAATTTAAAAGTATCAACAACATACAATGTTTGATCAACATTTCGTTAACATTCGTACATTTGATTGAACTTATAATTCGTAATTTATTTTATACTTCTGTCGTTTTCCATTAATATATGAGAATAGAGACAAAAAAAAGTAGTATTTTTTTATAGATTAATAATTGTTCTTCTGTATGTAAAATTTTAAGTAAGAGTTTACGCATATCACAAGTGTGAATTAGTCTTTATTTGATCGTAAAGAATATATATATATATTTTTTTTTAAATTAAAAAAATAATTAGAATAGAAAATTAGGTTGGATTTTTCTATTTCTATGTAAAATGCGACCTTTATTCTATTGTGAATGTCAACTTGTACTCCAATAGATTTATGGTCTGTAACACGTTATATTTCATTAGAGATAATCATGGTAAATTATAATACAATTTTTCACATGCGTAATTCGAAAAACCGATCGCAAAAATTCAAAGAATTCTCTGATTTGTTGTCATTTTTTATATTACAAATTTCTAATTTCGTTTCGTACATACAATTTTTCTATGATGTAATCATTAATGGATAAAATTTATTTGAAAGAATGGATTTTGTAAAATACATATAGGTAAAAAATGTATGTAAACATTTTTTCCAAAATGTAATAAAACTAAACTTTTTTTCATTTATATATATATTTTCTTTTTTTTTCTAAGGATCACCTACACTCTTGTTCAAAAAGTAATGATTATTGAAGTTACTCCGTTCCAAAACATTTATTCTTTGAATTGATCAAATAATATTACAAACACGAATAAAAATAGATGCTTTACGCTTTATCAGCATCCTCCATTGCCAAATTTTTCGCTGTGATAGGTTCCAATTCTTTTATACCTTCCTTCGATACCTTTTGTACCTTGAAGTTTGGAAGATTAACTATCAGCCTCTTGTGTATTTCTCTGACACATTTTTTCATTAATATGTATGCCTCTTCCTCCGTCGAGTCTGTAACGTGCATGTAGTACATATTTTAATAAAAGAAATTGTATTAATGATATCGTATGCAAATAAAAATCCATGTGAGTTTGATCATTGGTATTTATTACCGTGTTTATGATATCTGTCCAGTATTGAAAGGGAGAAAAAGCCTCCGTAGCCATGTGCAGCATATGGCACTTTGACGCAAGACGCCAAATAATCGATGAAATACAACTCTGGTCCAGTATTGTCGTCATAACCGGCCATTAATAAATTGACAAAATACGGTGTTCTACTTCTGAGGTAATCGGCCAAGTTTCTCCTAGTAAACAAAGCAGCTGCTCTCGGCGACAATTCATAACCGTTCCTCATTTTGTAGAGTTGAATGTTCTTCCCTATGTATTCTGAAAATTGCGTGGTATCGCCGGATTCTCCAGACACTGCCATAATAAGCTTATCGGACATCTTGTGGATTTTTTGCTCATCTGAAACAATCGGTACCTTGTAAACGATAATAAACATAAAATGAATCGGTACCTTGTAAACGATAATAAACATAAAATGAATTGCATTTATTGTTGTGCGAATGGCTTGAAATGAAACGTATGCATTATTATATCAAAATATAAATTAACTTTAATAATTAGCCCGGTAATATTTGTAGTAGAAAAAGAAACGGTGAATATAAATAATTTATTTAGGACTGTAACGAATATAATTCAATTTCTCACCGTTTTTCATAACCATAATCGATTGAGCTGTAGTCATATCGGCCGCGACTAAAGCGAAGTCCTTAAACTGTATACCAATTAAACATTCCATTTTGAGAAATAATTTTCCTTAGTATCTCGAATGAAACTGCAACAACACTGAAAATTGCCTGTCACGAACAGTGAGGTTATAATCGTGACTGTTCAATCATTGACTATATATTCTTGTTACTTTCTTATTTCAGATGCGTTCAACAGGTGGCAGCACCTTGCTTCCAATTGTGGCGGCGCGAGTATTTAAAAAAGCGAGTTCAACGACGGCGATGCCGATTTAAAATGAAGAGAGAGGAAAATAAGATAGCAGAAAATATGTTTCTGTATCAAAGAACATGTTTAACTTTGAACGAAATAAAAATAAGAAAAACGAAACTATCGACACGCAACAATATCGTGCCTTCTAACGCGAAATAAAACCGCGATTTGTCAGTGTGCCAAATCAGGATTCGAGCATTTAGAGAGGCAAGTAGTCTAGCGCTACCCCCGTCGGCACAGTAGGTTTCTTCGGAATTACTGGAGCTGAATTACAAAGGGTGCTAGACTACAAGAGACTGTAGTTTCTCGACTTGACACATTGACAACGAAAGTCTATTTTAGTGCAATGTCAGTAACAATAGTAACAATGAATGAAAGAAGAGCGAAGAGGAGATGTCCCTAATTTCGTCTCAAGGTAAATAAACGTGTCTTTGTACAGAATGCGCTCACAGTGAATTTACAAATACTAACTATCTTATAATTAACTAAAACTAAACGCACGCAACTTAAAGCTAAAACGCACGCATCCCACGATGTCCCTGCGATCCCTCGTCGTCCGTCGGTGGCCCGCTGGGGGCCCAATAGTTTACTTATCAACTAATTGTACCTACAGTTCAGTCTAGATCGTGAAATAATGAATGTACAGAAATTTTCACGATCTAAACTGAACTGTAGGTTGCGTAGTTCTTAGCTTGATATCGTTTTACAAACATTGAAGTTTGTAAAACGATATCAATTACCAGGTCTCACCACGAGGAGGTGACTACGCACAAGACCCGCCCGGGCCCTAATCCCAACCACCCTCCATTACATTCAAATAACTCGGCATTCTTAAGGAATGCGGAGATTTTGTTCTACTTGGCCCGGGGTTACGAACAAAGGGGACAAACGTTCCATAGTTCAATCTCAAACTTAAGTCTAAATCTTAGCTCTAAAGCGCATGTATGAGATTGAACTATGGAATTCTGTCTCCCAACAACGATCGCTTTAACAATAAGTTCATCTCCCGCACAATCATACAATACATACAATACATAAAATAATACAATCATACATTACATACAATGCATACAATTCATACAATACATAAAATAATACAATCATACATTACATACAATGCATACAATTCATACAAAGCATAAAATAATACAATCATACATTACATACAATTCATACAACTCATACAATTCATACAATTCATAAAGATCATACAGATCATACAGTTCACACAGTTCACACAGTTCATACAGTTCATACAGTTCATACAAGTGAACGTCATACAATAATTCGCAGCCCTAACAGCGCATTTTGTATCAAAGACACGTTTATCGAACTTTTAACGAAATAAGGGTAACTATCGACACGCTTTAATATCGTGCTCTGCAAGGGATATAACGCGAAATGAAACCGCGGTTCGTTGCTGTCATTGCACTAAAGTAGAGTTTCCAACTTTCGTTGTCTGTGCCAAATCGGGTTTCGAGCATTTAAAGGCAAGTAGTTTTGCGCTATCCCCAACGACACAGTGGGGTTCCGAAGAACCGCTGAGTCGGATTACAAAGGATGCTAGACTACAAGAACCTACCTCGTCCTTTCGGACGAGGCTGCAGTCCCCCGATTTGACGAACTGACAACGAAAGTTGGAAACTCTACTCCAGTGCAATGACAGTAACAAAAGTAATTCTACTCTAGTGCAATGACAATAACAAAAGTAACTCTATTCTAGTGCAATGACAATAACAAAAATATCTCTACTCTAGTGCAATGACAGTGACAAAAGTAACTCTACTCTAGTGCAATGATAGTAGCAATAGTAACAACGGACGAAAGAATAGAAGAGAGGAGGTGTCCCTAATTTCGTCTCAAGTTAAATAAACGTGTCTTTGTACAGAATGCGCTCACAGTGAATTTACACATAATAACTATCTTATGATTAACTAAAACTAAACGCACGCAACTTAAAGCTAAGATCCCACGATGTCCCAGATATTAACTATCTTATAAGTAATTAAAACTAAACGCACGCAACTTAAAGCTAAAACGCACGCATCCCACGATGTCCCTGAGGGATCCCTCGTCGTCCATCGGTGGCCCGCTGGGGGCCCAATAGTTTACTTATCAACTAATTGTACCTACAGTTCAGTCTAGATCGTGAAATAATGAATGAACAGAAATTTTCACGATCTAAACTGAACTGTAGGTTGCGTAGTTCTTAGCTTGATATCGTTTTACAAACATTGAAGATCCACCACGTGGAGGTGACTACGCACGGGTCTCATAATAATGTATTATAAATCAGTACTGTTTCATATATTTATCACACAGGTCACAATTTGTTTTGAATTTAAGTGATTTGTTGGAAAGAGAAAAGATGTTGATAAAATAAGGCATAATTATTTGATCAATCTAATGACTAATTTAGAATATTGAATAAATATTCTTGTTTGACAAATTAATAGTAAACGACTAAATTATTTTCCTTCTTTATAGATTATAGATTCTAAATTCAAAGAGAAGTACTGGAAGTATCTAATAATATTTAAATAACAATAGTAGTTAGACTAATATATAGTTGTTAGATGTAGACTAACATATAGTTGTTAGACTAATATTATCTATGTACGTGCAGATATATAGCATATATTATGGTAATTATTAAAGAATGTAACTATCAAAATATATCTTGTATGACTACGATACGAGTCATGGCAATTGAGCTGGTATTCATGTTCAAATAATCATGATGATAATGAAAATAATTAAATAATTGTAAAAATAGTTAAAATAATTCGTTAATGATGCGGAACAGTTAATTAAAGTTTGTTAGAAATGTATTAGTGGCTCGATTACTACAAATGATTAATTAAAAATTTTAAATAGTACTTAGAAATGTTATAAACGAGAATTTATTGTTTAATTGTTACAAATAAATTATTAGAAATGTTAGATAATGTTTAAACAATTTAAGAAAAAAAGTTATTTAATTGTTGCAAAAAAATTATTAGAAATATTAGATAATGTTTAAACAATTACAGAATAAATTATTAGAAATATCAGATAATGTTTAAACAATTAGAATATTCAGAAATATTATTTGAAAATTTACTTCTAAAATTTGCGTCGATGCGTACGCAACGAAAGGTCGATTTATACTGAGCTCTTGTTTCCGTGTTTATCAAAATATACCTGACCGCGTTAATCAATCGGAGTGGGGAACAGTTTACTAAAATTTCGTAGAAACGTATTAGTGACTCGATCGTTACAAGTGATCAACTGAAAATTTTAAATAATTGTTGGAAATATTACAAAAGAGAATTTATTGTCTAATTGTTACAAATAAATTATTAGAAATATTAGATAATGTTTAAACAATTATAAAAGAGAATTTATTGTTTAATTGTTGCAAGTAAATTATTAGAAACATTAGGTAATGTTTAAACAATTAGAAATATTATTTAAAAATTTACTTCGAAAGTTTAATCGATGTGCACACGATGAAGGTTCAACTAACAATGATGTTTTTCCTGCTTAACCTTAAAGTCAGTGATGCACAGCGGATGGTAATCCTTGTCAATACTCCCAAAAACACTTTTTCTAATCAATAATCAGTAATGTTACAGTTTCATTGTTTCATAGCCTCCATTAATTTGAGGCAACAATAAATATTATATTTCTATATTTTTTACAAAGTGAAAGTACGTTTGCACGGTTAGCTTTCAACTTATAATTCTGTTGACATATACTAGATGCTATAATCTATAAGTCTGTGACATATAATAAATTTTCTAATTTACATAGAAAATGATCATATTCGATTTGATTCTTAAAATTTTAGATAAATATAAATTTTTTATCCCAATTTTCATCGATCGTTGTTTGAAATTGTTATAATCCTTCATTGATGACGTCACGTTCAATTTAATAAATAATTCTCGAAGCAGATGTGGCAATACTATCCATATTTTTTAATTTTTCATCACTAGTAGTGCTGCAGTGCAAAACTTGCCTGAATCGGTACGACAGGATGTGACACGAAAATGGTAAGAAGGTCCTGAGTCCCTCCAATCGTAGGCAGGAAAAAATACATTGTATGCGCGGTGTATTCATATACTTAGTCTGTGTCATTGTACATAAGAATTAAATAAAATTATATTCTATTGTAGTTACATTAATTGTCACGTTATTTATTAAAAAGAGTATATCTTCATATTTTGGCCATATATCTCGTTCGTGGGCACATATTTTGGCGCTTTTAAAATGGAGTAAATAAGAATAAGATGCGTACTGCCACCTCTCAGGAAGAATAAAAATAATACTAATTTCAATTGGTTCCAGTAGTCGGCAGAACTTTGCTCTTCCGTAGAAGAGCAACATTGTAACGAGGGGTAATATTAGAGATCAGTTTCACCAACACTAGTGTTTCGGTTTTCGAAAATCGATTAAATTTACCATTAAAAATTAATCTCCAGAATTTTTATAATTGCAACATTTCTTGGCCTACAAAATATCTACATAAAGAAAATTTGCAAATTTTACTCGATAGATGGAAACACTCGATTTGATTCGAAATTCTATCTATTGTATCAGGAACTTTATTACAAGGTCTTCTAATACAAGGTCATTGAATTACTTCTCGTTAGAATGAATTGAATATCAATGATTACGATGCGTGTGCAACGTGCGAGGAAAGGAGAGGTAGCGCGCAATTATTGAACACGTTCGACGATACCCGCTATCTCGACACTTTGTGTGTCGAATAGCTGTAATAGATATTCTATTGGTAAGTATGTATCAATTTTTTTCCTTTTTACACTGCCACGTCGTTCGTGATATTTCCTACTTGTTGATCGTGATTCTTTATAAGATGATAATATCATTATCGTAGGATGATAAAATAAATAATAACACGAGTAGTAAGTATAAATATGTAAATAAAAATTTTGCTTCTTTCTTTCGCGATTTTCTTCAAAATAGAGCAAAAGCGAGTAAATCTTCAAAGGACTTTTCTTCCTTATCAGTTTATCAGTCGCCTGTAAGCTTCCGAAGTTTTGATATTTAAATTCGGAATATACCCTGATATATATTATAAATAAATACTAATATAAATAATATTATCAAATTTAATTGAAAGACGTACAAAATTTAATTGAATATTCGATGCAGCAGGGCAGAATTTATTAAAGGATAATTATAACATTGCTGTGGTAAATGGTGCGACGAGTGGAGAGGAAACAGATAAAGGGAGAGGCAGATAGAAATGACTGGTTCACGTTCGCTGATGTACCATTGCATTTCTGTGTCAGTGGTAAAGGCGTAATAGCAGGACTGGGTCTCCTATTCTTTTCAGCTTTATTATAGATGCCGGTTACATCGATAATTCCGTGAGGCTCGTTCGGGAGGAACGAGTTGCTAGACACGGCATTTCAGTGAGAAGCGAACAGCTTAACCTACAAAAACCTAAAAAGCCTCATCTGCCGAAGCGAAGCGTGCATGCACGAATTACCGTTTCTTCAAACTTGAACGAACGCTAACGAACGTTCGAACAGTTCCCGTTACTAGAAACATCGCGTTCTCACGAGGAGGCTTTAATTTATTGAAAAGAATTGTGAATTAGAAGTATTTGTACGAAATTTTATCTTTGTTGGCGGAATCTACATTACCGATAGATTCGATATTCAGCAGATAAAACATTTTCGCAATACGGTATTTTTAAACAGGGGAATGAAAAAAATATGTCAAAGTTAAAAAGATACTTATAAAACGTTAATAATAATACTTTTTATGCAGAGATAATACCTCGTTTAAATACCAGTTCTGAGAAAAATTGGGACTATAAAAGCAGAGACGAGATATATGAATATATAAAAATAAGGTATGTGATAGAGGTTATAACAGATTGTTTTCCGCTGAACTTATGGATCATTTATCAAATTTGAATTTGTCTATTGTGTCCTTTTGCAAATAATCTTGTGAGTCTTTCTTCCGATCTATATTCTTTAAAGTGTTTCATTTTCTTTTTATAGATTCGTTTATTTCCCTTGATCGAAATATTAAAGATGTTTTTTTTTTATTCGTTGTAATTAACGAATTAAAAGAAGCCGGAAGGAAGGAAAAGAGGGATCGCCACTTCCGATGGAATCAATGACAGAATTAGTTCGCCTTGTTTAAGGTCGTTCGTTAGTCCCGTTACATTACTACAAGCCTTCGAAGTATGATGCGTTCAACGTAGTGTTTTCAACTATTATCAAATAGTATTTCGATCGTGAAGTGAGTTAATCATTTCTGCTTCGTACACGAGGCATTATCATAATTATATTGAGATTAGTTGAATTATATTTGATTATATTGAGATTAGTTGAATTATATTTGATTATATTGAGATTAGTTGAATTATGTTAAGATTATATTGAGATTATTTAAATTATATTTGATGTACTTGTTACATGTGTAAGACGATTATTCATACGACGTGTAATTTCAGATTGAGTCGTGTCTCCATACAGTGCTAATAAAATTCTATCAAATTTCACGCACAAATAATGGATATTGAAATGATCATTTCCAAAGATTTTCTAAATGAAATTTCATAAAACATACAAATGCAGGAAATATTTAAAATGATAAATATCAAACTACTGAATATTGAAATGACCATGTTCAGAGATGATGCATTTCCAGAGATCTTACGAATGAAATTTTACAAAAGTTTGTAGTCTTTATTGCGTTACAAACTGGTTTTTTAGCTCGAATGTATCGTACATTCGATGCAAGTTGTATACCTTGGTACAAAACCTTGATACAGAACAGAATTCCAACAGGTAAAGGGAAATTGAGGAATGTGTTGGGAATCGAAGATACGTACATACATACGTACGGTTCGATTTCTTCTCTTTTTTCGTGAATTGCAGGTCGTTCTAATTCATGGTGATTAACGAGATGCTCCTAATAAGAAGACACGACTCCAGCATCCCGCTACTGAAACAGTTATGATGAATCGCGACCGTCTAGTTCGGGGTGCACGCAACGTGAAATGGGCCTTCAAGAAGAAAAGGAAAGCCTCCGGATGTGGATGACCAACCATCGTCCAATTTATTTGATCAACATCGGTTGACAAACACGATCATTTCAAAATTCATTAACAACTTTACCACTTTACTCTGATAAATTGCGAAGTTTCTAATCTTTTATACATTTTTCTTTTTTTTTTTTTCAGAAATTCTTTACATTCGTCTTTTCGATGATATAGCATGTCAGTGTCACGAGTGTTACATGTTACACGTACTGTAACTGGTCCTTGTCTTGATAAACTAAAGAAGGAATCCAGGAAAGCAAGAAGTCTCGCAACGATCCCGTAAGTGGGCAGAAAAATCACCCAATAAGAAAAAATTCACCAGTGTCGATGACCACAAGCCTCTACGATTTGTATTTTCAAATGTAGACAGACAGTCCACGGATATTCGCGGAAACTTTTATTTTTATAGTAAATCGGAGCAACGTGGAACCTAACAAGGAATTTATTTTTATCCACCTTTTATCCATCTGAATATTACAATGATATATTTTATCATGTAGACCCTTGCATATTATGCGCGAAACTCACAGTTCAGTTAAAAGCTAACGTTTCAAAATGATCTCTAGCGTAAGTTGGAAAGTTATAATTATGTTGCAAGAGTTCTCGTTTCGACATTCCTCGGAAATAATTCTGGTAGTCAATTATTCAACGGAAGGAAAATAGACGAAGGAGAAGTTGGTGGCTCGAGGGCCGTGTTCTGCGCGAGAGAATTCGAGAAAAGGCCGATGGAATGTCGAAACTGTAAAATCTGAACGAAGAGTATTCGAAAAGTAGACCTTCGGGATCGACAGCCGGCAGTGGATTGGTCCGTTCCATTGAAAATAATGCCAAAGGCGCGTGGTCATTGGCCGTTCGGTCTATCCCTCCCCCCACGTGAATCCGCAAGCTATATAGAACACCTCGCGTGGAATTTCATCTTCAGAACTGAGAGTCAGTGTCAAGGAAGTCCATCTGGAACTAACGAAGTGAGTACCTTGCAATTTGCCCAAACAGAAATTTGCACTTTTGTCAATACTTATCCATGTTCCAGCGTCTGTTTCACCTGTCAATTTCCGAGATCCTTCCTCATTAACGATCCCGTTTCCACCGTCTCCATCGCGACAGATCGTTTTGCTTTCGTACTTCTACCGTTTGGACACGAGAGAACGTAACATCGAAAGCCGAGCTCGGTTGCTCTTCGGATTGAAAAAATTTTAAGCCCTAAATTTCAAGTCCTATCCCTCATCGTCGTCAAACGCTCGACGGAAGCGCGAAAGCCGCTTCTTTTTTCGCATCGCATATTAGAAATAATGTCGCGTGACGAGTACGCGAGCGAATGACTTTTACAGATTTTACACCCGCGGCTACAGTTAGAAATCGTTCGCGATTTTTTTCCCGCATCAGCGGGTACCGTTTTCGAGGGGCGTGGCTTCGCGCAACTCGTCTTCTCTATTTGCTTTCGAAAAACTGTTCCTCCATTTCTTCTCTTCTGCACCTCTTTCTTTCTTTTTTCTCTTCGAACTTCTCTCGTCGATTTGAAAATGTACACCAGGCGACTACTGGAAGATGAAAATCTCCTTTAACTAGCATCGGAAATTCACTCGGTTCGTTTCTTTTTTTTTTTTTTTAATTGTCGAAGAAGAGAGTTCCCTTTTGCTCGATAATTTCGACAGTTTCTTCGTCTTCTTTTTTTTTTTTTTTTGTTACTTCGCCTTAGTCGTTCAGTGCAGCGGAGAACAAGGAAGACAGTAGGTCGCGACCGCGTTTTCAGGTAACGGTACCTGCCGGGTTCAACAAACCGGTAGCTTCGATCGAGAAGTGGGCTAACCTGGTGCTGCCAGGTTGACCTTAACCGCTCTGACACACTTTCCTGTCACTCGTCGTCGTCGCTCCTCCGCTCAGCGCCGGTACCATTTCGTTTCGTTTCGTTTCGTGTGTTGCCGCGCGATCGCTCGCCTTTCTTCATCTGGCCGTCGCTCTCCGAGACTCGAGATCAAGGTTGTCGATACCGGACTACCTAGGTAAATCTGGCCTCCCACATCGGGATTACGGAATCATTCCTCTTCCTATGTTTCGCTCGGGAAACTGGAATAGAATTCAATTACACTAAAGAAATTACTTTCTGCCTTCAATTATTTCCAATAAATTTCCGATAAATCTTACACGTGGATTCGTGCAATTTTTTTCATCTTCACGTAGCGAAGAGTATATAATTGGAACAGTAACGATTAATAATTTAAATTAGCAACAGCAAGTCGCTTGGTCTCGTTTTCAAATCGTAAAGCGCGTAGTTCTACTTTCATTCAGTCACCAATAGTAAGGATATTTTTTTGTTTTCTCCCCCCTCGAAAATTGTGAAGTATTGAAAAAAAATTTTTCCCACGATTAGATCCACCACATGATTTTGAAGATCGAGACTTCTTCTTTAAAATCTGCTGCTACAATTTTCTTTCAACGTTTCACTGAACTTTGAACATTCAGGGTTGAGCGACAAAAATTAAAAAAAAATTCTAAACGTCCTCATTTGATATTCAAAGTTCAATAAAATGGTGGAAAAGAGTCGTGGAGCTAGTTTCAAGGTCATCGCAACTGGGGAGACTTCAGTCTCCAAGATCGTGGTGGATTTAATTACAAAGGAAACAATTCTTCAATTTTGCAAACGTATGAATGTTTACAATTTTTCTGAAGATAAAGCATCTTTTGAAAGAACAAACTCAGGACTGTGAAAGTAAAAAGGCTCTTCACGTCTTAAAAATGAGATCAAGTGGTACTGTTGTATGATTTTTCATTACAATAATTCAAATTATCGACAATTTCTCATCACTATTAGTCGTTATTCACTTATGCTCTTCACTGTATGAAATGTCCAAAGCAAGGTATTTTTCACTTTTTAGAAAATGAAACGAGCTTGTACAAATATTCACAGCCAAAGATTATTTCCGTTCGTTTGTTCGTATCTTTTCATTTTCTTTTTACAAGTATTCTAAAAAAAAACAGTACTTTTATAAGTATTCTAGAACAGTTTGTAGTTTAATCTTGTCTTCTTCTTCATATCCGTATGACTTGAATGTTACATATTTCAGTAAACATTATACGTTTCAATAAATATGCATAGTTTTCAAACATTTGGTTTCAATTATTCAATATACAATATCGTAGTTTCCTGCATGTATGTCTACATTAAATAAAGTACTGCAAAGAAAGAAAGAGATATCAATAGATGAAAAAATGAATGAATGCTCGTGATGAGCAGAGTTGAAAAGAAGAAAGGAAAATGGAAAGGAAAAGAAGAGCATATGTGGAACGGAAGCTGGCACATACTTAGAGCATGACTCGAGATCACAGATTTAAATTCTCTCATGAATTTCTTTGCTCATCCCAGTTTTCTCTTTTTGAGTCATCCGATATTTCATATTATGAGAGATCTTTCACATTTATACCTGTATAATAATCTCAATCAATTTCACATTTATACCTGTATAATACATACCTGTATAATAATCTCAATCCACAATCTCATGATTGAGCACACTCTCTTTTTAATTAATCATCGAGTCGAGGTTCATCGATACTGGTTTCCTTTTAGAATGAAATACAATCAGTACGTGTCGCTATGCTTGGTGGCGCTTGTTCTTGGACAAGCAGCATCATTGCCGCAGTATCAGCAGCAATTCCAGCAGCAGGTCAGGGACGAGAGGAAATTCGCGGAGAAGCCAAACGCCATGAAGAAAGTCGCCCTCGATGATCTGGACGACATCAGCACCAATCAGATTCAAGTAAATCCGATCAGAGATGTTTCCCTGTATTATAAAAAAATATCCTGATAAGTTTGACAATTTTGAACTCCTATTATTAAAAACACCAGCTTATTAAAACTCCCATTATCAAAAAAAAAAAAAAAACTATTATTAAAATTCCTATTATCAAAAAAAAACTAACTATTAAACTATTGTCAAAACTCCTATTATCAAGAATTCTATTTATTCATTTATGATGGAGCTTCAACTGGCTATTATCAAAACTCTATTCACTCATTTGTGATGGAGCTTATTTGCTTTTTAGACTAAAAATGAAGAAAACGATGCAAGTTGAGCAATTCTAAATTTCAATTTTCTTAGATTCTGAGACTAAACTGGTATCTTCATTTTGTCCCATCCAGGAAGGTGGCAGTACCGGGTTCTCGTGGTCGAACATGCTGAGCATGCTGATGCAGATGCTCCTGGGGCAAACAGGCGGTGCAACTGGCCCAAGCAAGAACGAGATCGACGACGGTGCACCAGCCAGCCCTTGGGCAAATTTGCTATCGGTCGGGCTGAGAGTTCTCACCGCTCTTCTAGGTGGCCCCCAGCAATCAGTCGACGGTATCGACAAAGTTGACAACCAGAGCAGCCCCATGCAGGTACGCTCGCCAACGATACACACTCCGCCCCTCCCATTTTTCGTGACTACGGTCATTTCTGCTTCAACGTGAGACCTCGTATCAATCATCTTTTCAATCCACCTACTGAGAGAATCAAGCGTTTACAATCAATTGCTCTTAGGTTCACTTTGACGCTGTGAACGTGAACTTCTTGCTGGTACAGTGTATTTAATAGATTGAGAGGAAGAAAAAAAAAAAAAAAGAAAGAAAGAAAAAGAAAAACAGTGTTAGAAAGCAATCGGAGGATCACTTGAAACGGTTCCGCGCAACAGGAACAGCGAGTTTCCGAGACTTTCATCTTGATTCGGGTCGCGTAACGAAAGCAAGCGCAAGCCGAACTGACTGTACCGCGAGAACAACCGATTCTGGGTCAAACGCATCACGTTTAGACTCGAACTGAATTATTCCATGGTAATGGCCACGCAACGGAGCCAGCTTGTTATCGCTTTTTATGGAATTTCCCTACGGATCTCTCCTTCAGGCAGAATCATCATTCTTTTCGTTCGTCCCTGCGACAGATGTCGAGTTCTTCTTTTCTTTTTTTTTTTTTTTCTTTCAAAAAAAAAAAAAAAAAAAAAAAAAGAAGAAGAAGAAGCGTACGTACAACAAAGCATTACTCGTTTAGAATTCGAGAAGAGGAAGAAGTTCGTTTGTATTCGCACGCACTGTGTGAAATAACGTCGTCGCTTGTGTATGTGTTTATCTTTTACTTTCGTACGCAATTTTTTTTCTTTTTTTTCTTTTTTTTTTTCTTCTTGCAAGAGAAATCACGAAAACGACGTACGACGTACGTGTGTTCGTCGACACGAGCTGTTACTTCCGTTAACGAGCTCCGCTGTCTCCTTTCGCAATTAGAGACACTGGACACGTTAACGATCTTCACGTTTTCTAAACGATATAATTCCCTTTCGATCTGCTTTCGATTCGAGTCCCTTTGTTTCCCTTTCGCGTCCCACGAAACTGCTGATGTTGATTCTTCTCAATTCGAGGCGACACGTGAGATGTCGTCGTACGTCGCTGTGATCTCGTGTAAATTATTAGAGTACAGTATCTCTGTTGCTTGGGGCAACGTTACAGACTCGACCTCCTTGTAAATAATCATCAGAGAATGTTAACTTAGAGCACTATGGCTGGTGTCGGTTGTTTAGGGCATTTTGACTGCGGTGCTGGGCGCGTTTCTAGGACAGGGCAGAGACCCCGATCAGGTTGCTGTCATGGCTAAAAACGCTTCTGAGGTTAGTACCTGCTCGAACACATTGTACATGAATGATTTCACTCTCTGTCTCTCTCTCTTTCTCTCTCTCTCTCTCTCTCTCTCTCTCTCTCTCTTTGAAAGACGTTTCGTCAAATATCCAATAGTACATATCTCTAAATCTAAACAGAGTTGAAACAAAAATTTATCATCACTGTACTACTAACGAGAATTCTACTTTCTACATTTCTGCGTCTGTGAATTCTTTTTTTATCTTTTTAGAATTCTTGAATTCGGCGAATTCTTTTAGAAATCAAAATTGACGAAGCGTCGACGAGCCACCAGAGAATAAAATAAAAAGTACGCTTTCCAAACGTAGTAGAATAATGCTTTTGCTCTCCGTCGTTTTTCGCCTCGAACCACTTCCCACCGTTTAATGGTTCAAATTCTTCCGAAACAGTTCATTAGCATAGTGATCAATCTTCTGGACGCGTTGAAGACCTCGTTCTCTCATCGTTCCATGGCAGCTAGGTCGATGGGAAGACGGGACACCGTCTCAGAAGCTGCTGTCGCCTCCATTTCCATGCTCAAGGTACTTGAATCTTGGAGATGTACACTTGATTCATCTTGAAATTAATTAATTTATCTTTTGGTATATTATATAGTATAATATATAATTTATATAATTATAGTATAATATATAATATAATATACAATTTATATAATTATAGTATAATATATAATATAATATACAATTTATATAATTGTAGTATAATATATAGTATAATATACAATTTATATAATTATAGTATAATATATAGTATAATATATAATTTATATAATTATAGTATATTATATTATGTTAATATATTATATTTAAAGTATATTAATATATGTTAAAGTATATATATTTAAAGCATATTAATATATGTCAAAGTACATATATTTAAAGCATATTAATACATGTCAAAGTATATATATTTGAAGCATATTAATATATGTCAAAGTATATATATTTAAAGCATATTAATATATGTTAAAGTATACATATTTAAAGCATATTAATATATTAATGTATATATATTTAAAGCATGTTAATATATCAACATTATCCCTTATTATCTTAAAGCATATACTGTATGGTTTTCGTTTTAGGGCTACATGAGGTCGGTGAAGTCGTTTAACAACGTTGGTCGCGCGGAGGACGAAGGTCAACGAGGTTGCGCCGAAAGGGCCCTCTGCGAAGCCAGTGCAGAGTGTGTTGCCGATGCTCAGGGGACATCTTCCATCTTCTGTCAGCTTGGATCGTAAGTATCAAACGTCTATTTGTTCTTTTAGTTGAAAGAAAGTATCTGGGAAAAGGAATCGTTATTAAATATACAAGTGCCGAGTGTATCGAATTATTTTGTAAATTATTTCACAAGTACAAAAAAGAACAGTCATTTCTCTTATTTTCCCTTCGGATTCCTTCTCCGGGAAGCTCCTCGATTACAAATCTATAGCATTAATAAATAAAACAATAACTGTCAGTAATAAAACTTTTTACTTTTCCCTTTTAGGTACGCGACGAGTTATCTGCTCCAGAGGCAGAGCGGGGTAGGCTTCGAGGCGTTGTACGAGGCAGGTCGACGTGGACGCACCGGCGAGGACTGCAGAACCTTGTTCATGGACTGCAACGCCGTATGAAAACTCGTTCCGATTCGTTCAAGTGCGATTTAGACCCTCTGGGACTCGACCAACGCCGGACTCGGTTATCTGAAACTTATCTCTACAATAAATTACACATGCCTCAACGAAAGTCTCTTGAAAGTCAAAAAGTTTTAGGAGTCTGTCAGTCGACCGATTTGTCGTGTCCCGAGGGTTCAAATCGCACCGACGCGACGGAAGAGTAGCTTTCATACGCGAGAACCGTGCCGAGAACCAAAACCACAGAATGACAATACCCTCTCGAAGCTCTCGTTCGACGAACTCGGCCCCTAAAGAATCGACGAATTCCAATTGGCCAATTGTCCCGAAATTGCCAAGCTCGGCGTCGAAATTCGATGAAATTCTGGGTATAAATGTGGGTGTGTCGCGATCGATCAACGACCGGTCAATTGATTCATTGATCGATCGACAGTTTGCCGTTATGCGTCGCTGCTGTTACAATTGGTTCGATGAAATGTTCGACGAAACTCTTGGTGCCCCCTGGTGACCGAGGCAGGAAGTCTCCGGTCCCCGGTGGATCCTGAGAGTTTGATCGTTCGCGACTAGAGAGGTACAGGCGAGAGAAGAGAGAACACGCGAAGTGGGAGAAGCATACACTTTAACGTAGAAGTAGACTGAACGAGATTCCAGGCCTGGACGAACCTGTGTAACGTTCGGACAGGCCTCCACGACGATCACGGTATTTATTTCTATTTATTGAACTTAGCGGGCGTAGAGCTAGCGCGTAACCACGAGACTCGAAACAACCACCACGTGCAAGGGGCACCCAACTTGTTTTTCCGTTGACAATCGACGAGCTAATTCTGTCTGAACTTCAATCTGCGTCTTCTTCTTCTTTTTTTTTTTTTTATTTTCTTTGGTGGCGATCCGAGCCACACATTTTCACATTTAATCTTCAGCTTATTCGCATCTGCTGGACGAGACAGTTGCTTCGTTTCCGGGAGGAAGACTAGGTTTCAGGTAGTCTGAAGACTACCAATGCTTGGCGAATCAGACGTGACTGGGATTCGACTGGAACTACATCCTGGAATGGTGGCCCTCCCTAGATTTTCGCACGAGTTAACGTCTCAGGATATTCGTTTCGTTTATGTTATTTAATAAACCTGCTCAAAATTATCTGTTGTATATAGGAATTATATATGTATACATATGAATGTACGTACATATACATATACACATACACACGGGTGGAGTTTTCTTTTTTCCGCAATAGCCACGTTCTATTTTATTAGCTCAGTTAGCGTATCTTTGTTAGACGTAAGTTGTATGTATGACCGTGCGGTACGATGACATTTTAATCGAAATTAATAAACGTTCTCATTGATGAATGCTCGTAGTTTCCTTCTGATCCTCAATAACCGGACAGTTACGGTAGGTCAAGGATTTAAAGGATCTGAATCCAAAGGAATTCGATGATTCACAGACAGTAAGCCAGAAAGCAAAGAACTGAAACGTTTGAACGACAAAAACGATGAAAATTTGAAAGTTTGGTGTATCTTATTTTCTAATATTCTATATTCTAATTTTTATCAAAATCGTCAGAACGAAATTTTGCAAATCAGTTTTGGCACTGTTCTGTTAACACATCTTCGTACATTTTGCACAACTTTTTTTTTTTTGCTTGAACAGCATTCTTACCTTTTAATAAAAATATGCCAAAAATGCTCCTTTTTATTCTCCATTTTTGATACGACACCTAAAAAAAGAAACAACAGTTGCAAAAAAGAAAACCTTGAAATGTTAGCTGTCAAAATATACAATGGCAATACGGTATAGAATGAAGTAGGCTGGTTAAAAAATACAACTAGCGACACTTGTGGGAGAAAACGAAATTACTTTCTGTACAACCCATAAAATTCATAATGACCACTTCTTTTTGTTCAATTATTTTATAACGCAATTGAAACTAAGCCAACGTTGATCGTGGGCAATTACGATCCTCGTTAAGATTCCACTTGCTCCGTGAACGTAACGAGGTCGACTGTCACAGCAATTACTCGGCTTAAAAACATTAAGAGACAATGAATTTGATGTCTCTGAAATTAAAAGGATTATGCTCGTTCGCGTGACAATGAGGACATCATTTAACGGTGTAAGCAGTGGACAGACGTAGAGAACCTCCACGTTCCGTGACAAAAAGCTTGTTCCTCAGTTCGAATTAACGCGTAAAGAAGGAAGGTTGTGAAAGGCGGAAACCTCTCGTGTTTTCATCAGCAACTCGTCAAAGGTAAGGCATCCAAGAAACTCAAAGAAACTTGTACTTCTGTTAAGTAATCTTCTCTTCTGATTTTTTTTTTTCTTTGGCGAGATTACAAGATTTTCCTGAGTTGCTGATAACTTTTATACAGATGACGTTTAAATCTTTGATGAATTTCGGAGGCTACAAGGATTCTTATTATTCCAACATTGAGAGATACCACAGTGGTCCCGGTGGCTATCACCACAGCGGATCTGGAGGATACCATCACGGTTCGCGAGGGTAAAACATTGAAATCAAGCAGAATTTTGTCAATCATTCTGTTTCAATCAAACTTTTCAACGCGAACGACGATTTTACATCTTGGAAATCACAATTCTGATTTATCTTTGATCAACCTTGATTTAAATTGTCACTGAACTGGCAAAATGTTTTTAGTAGCAGCAAGGGCAAAGGAGGTGACAAGGGAGCCGCACTTAGTGCTCTAACGCTGCTTGCTTTCCTCTTCCTGTTGAACGTCATGCAGGTAAACTCTCATTGTTCCTCGTAACAACAAAAAGATGGAAAAAAATGTCAATTAATTCGTCACGCTAAAAACAAAACCAATTATTACACAAAAGCAGAGTAATTGTACGATTGTATAATTTAATATTAAAAAAAAAAAAAAAATGTATCGTTTCACGTTGGACTATTCTGTTTTGCACTTTGCAGCAATCGATGCAGGACAACATGCCAACGACGCCGACACCGACAACCGGGTTTGTCATACGCGACGCTGATCAACCAGTGGTGGTGGACGCGAAGGAAGAAAAGGAGAACGCCAAGAGGGACGAGGCGAAGCGCGTTAGTTACGGGACACCAGCAAAATCCAAGATCCAAAGGCTTAACAGTCAATATATTAAATGAAATTAGATTAGTACACAATGATTTGGTACAGGTAGTTAGTTGAAAGTAGATGAAGTGAAATGAATTCTTTTGGATTGAGATTCAGAATCGAATCAGCTGCTCTCGCACGTACGTTTAACAATGTCACCCTTACTTAAAAGATCGCCAGCGTAATGAAATTTGTATTAAGGTAATATTTCTTTTTTTTTTTTTTTTTTTTTTATTGAATTCATTCTGTAACAATTCCTTAAACAGACGTGCTTCGAAATGTCGTATAAGTATATAGCATATACGCTCTTCTCGTAAAACGCTCCACCACTTTTTTCATTTTTTTCTTTTTTTTAATTCTTTTTATCCTCTTTCTATACATATATATATAATTTTGTAATTTTTCTTTATATATATATGTATATATATATATATATATATATATATGTATATAATAATAGCCGTATAATTTCTTTGAGAATAAACATACAGCGAAAAATGTTGATCTCTTTCTTTCTTTCCTTCTTTTGTTACTTTTTTTCTTCTCCTTTTATTTGTTCATCATTTTTATTATATTACTCGTTTTACACGCGAACGAATTTACGGATACGAACGGTTGCTTCCGGCAAGTCGACGCGGAACTCAGTCGAAAGATATATATTTATAAGAATAGACTCTATTAGGAATAAATAATTTGCTGTCTCTCAGAAAATAACAGGCTTAGAGCCGTCCACGACGAAGCTTCTTGCTTTATTTCCTACGGATTTCTCTCTTTTTAGTTTTTTTCTTTTTTTTACGCCATTTTTTCCTATTTCTTTTTTCTCTCGCTTTTGTTTTCCTTTTCTCCCCTTTCTCGCGCCTAAAAAAAGAAAGTTTTCGTTATAATTAACACAGAGCGGAGCTCCTTCCTTTTTCTCTTTTTCTTTCAAATTTTCGTACTAATAACGCACGACAATCGTTCCTTTCGTTTGTCGTTTCTACAAACGTTCTCCCGTAGATTCTTCTTGATCTATGTTTCACGAATATTCCTCGCGTTTCTCTTCGCACACCGCGATACAACGATGTGTGATGATCAATTTGCACGTGTGAGACGGTTCCGGTTCCTCAATAAGACGATTTGATCAGCGACCAACTGAACAGATCTCTGAGGAATCTCTCCTCTTCAGAGATTAAGAATAATTTGGTACTTAACTCGGATATGCCCAATTATTCCTGGAGAAACTAACTGCAACGTTACGTTTGCCTCTGTCTTTTGGCAGCATTTAACGCACCTTCTGCATGGAATAAATTAGGAATCAACAACGCGACTAACAACAACTGACACACCTCAATTTAACTCAAGTACTAAATTTAATATGTTTAAGCTCGCGAATTTAATAACGTTACCTCGTGATGGAAATTTGGACATATCTGGGTTAATGAAAAACCTTTCGGTGAATTTGAGGCAATAGTGAAAATCCTTCGGGATCGCTTGGAGGCCCTTCAAACTTTGGAACCGGGCAGGAGAGAGGAATCGAAGGCTCGTCACTGCATCAATCGATCTCACATCGAGAACCGTTTGTCGTGAATTAACGAAGACCCGTGTTCCCCTTTATCCTGAAACTTTTATAATAATTGATATATTTCTGAACAATTAAAAACCCTCCGTAGGCAACCATCAGTAAGTTCTGAATCGCGATTTGTTCGCAAACAGAACAGAAATTCTAGTCGACCCAAGGAGGATTATTAATTTCCGAACAGTTTTAGACATTCGTGGTATTTTCTAGTAAACTGCTTTTTTTCTTCATTTTCACTTTCATCTTGCAAACTTTTCGACTCGTGGACGATTCCTTGCCACGGATTCATCCGCAACGTCCGGTACAAGCTCCCGCTCTTCGGTCTCGCAGCTTCCTAACGGCGAGAGAGCATTCTAGAGTCTAGAAGAACGCGTGTTTAAAATGATTGAGCCATTCGTCAAAACACAAACATCTGTTTTATTCTCTTTCTCCGTCCGGTTGCTTTTTCTGTCACTTCCTCTCTCTCTCTCTCTTTCTCACACACTCACTCTCTTTTGTCTTTAATTTCTCTCTTATCTTTTTAGCTCTTAGCTCTTTCTCTCCCACTCTCTCACACCACGATTCTCTGCAGCGTTTTCGCGATATGCACTCTCCGATTTTTCTTATTTACACAACAGTTCTTTTTTTTTTTTTTTTCCTTTTAGAAACATCGAAACATCGTAGCAAGGGAAGTTCGGCAGCTCAAAGACATGAAACTATGCACAAAACGTAGTGTCACGTGACGCTGGTGACGTAATAATTTCTTCTTTCTACCAAAAAGCAATTTCAGAGGCGAAACACACCCTTTCAAAGACTTTTGATATGATTGTAAATAATAATATCTCTCTTGACTTTTCGTATTATTATAAACACTTATAAAATTGTATGTAAAATATACGTACGCGATTTTCAAATTGTTGCATTTGAGCGAGGCGGGAGCCATTGTGTGGCGTGGACGCGTCTTTTGCGCATGCGCTTAATGTGCGCGTGTCGCATGCGCACGAACACTTGCAAGAAATTCTACCTCGAGGTACGCAGAAAATAAAATAGATTAAACGTTATATTGTTTTCTATGGTCTCTTCTGAAAATTTCTCGCCATCGAACACGAGAATTTTTCACCACCACAGCATAGACCATGAAAGACAATAAAATTTTTACAACTTAACTTCTCTTTCTAGATTTTACGAAACTTGGCAAATATTCACGATAACGTGAGAAGCTGACGTTTCTTTGGAGGGGCGTTTTCGTCTTCTAGGACGATTTTTCAGTAAGAAAAACAAATTGTCACATTATCATCATTGCGTCAACTACTTTTCCACAAAGTTTCAAATTTTTTTCTCAATTTCTTCCCGAACTTTCCTTCTCAGATATTTCGCAGACGTCTGCTAGTCGTCAAGTAGCTTAAAACGTAAATGTAAACGCCGTGTATTGCAGGGGAGGGGGGGAGAGACTGGAGGAATGGATTTTAACCAGACTGAAATGTCCCAGCGAGTTTTAGGAATTTCTCTTCCGACAACTTTTCATTTTTCATTTTCTTCGCCTTTCCCTGTCCAGTAGAACCGGAAAATGATTTCATCAATACAGTTTTGGCAATGCAATTTGCAATTTTATCTCCCCGTGCTTCTTCTTATTCTTCGAAAATACTGGAATAATCGCGCGAAAAGCTCCTGCTGTCTCAAAACGACCGGGCCGAGATAGAATTGACAATACTCGTTAACTAAATTATTATTGCAAAGAGTTCGATAAAACCGATAAAAAAAGTTTCGAACTATTTGTTCAAATTTTTGCTGGAGAACGGAAGTATCATCTGCATCGAGCAGACGATCTCCAGAATTAATCACTAGACCGCGCATGTTTCGTAATTTTATACATTAATTAATTATATAAATAATTATATAATTAAATATATAAATTAAAAATATATATTAATTAAATATATAAATAATTAATTAATTGCATAATAATTATTTGCGAAAATAATTGAACATCTTAGGATAGAAAATTTTAAAAATAGAAAAATGATAGAAAATTCTAAGGAGTATTATATACACTTTGAATGTTTTACATAATTCTGCGTAGCGTTTTACGCATTTCTGTACTAGAAAATACATAAAAATTTGCACTGTAAAATCAATATTGCATTAATCCAATTATCTTTAAATTGTGTTCTTTTTTTTTTATGAAAAGAAAATCCACGGTTTTTCTTTTTCTAAGATTCCAAAATTTCACGAAATTTGAACAAACTAAACTGTTTATAACGCTCTGATGAACTGTTAAATTATATTGGTCTGTAATGCGTTAATCTAATTTTCTTTTCTTCTCGGCTCCTTCTCGTTCTGTTTCGAGAAGACGAGTCACGAGTCAGGAACGCGAATATGAAAAGTTGTGGAAAAATGCTGCGGTGACGATGGGACCATCAGGCTAAACATCAACATCTAACAAAAGACTCGTTGATCAAAGATCCTTCGATCGTCGACGGACTAGCTGCTAAACTGGCTAAATCGTTTAACGGACTCGTTTAAGTTACTCTGTCCGTGCCAATTGTCGCCTCTTCTTTGTTTAATTTGAAGACGACGACGCAGCACGACTCGCTCAATTCCTACACGCTTATAACTCGGAGAACTCGGAACGAATATTCGCTCGTCGTTTTCATCCAAGAAACGAGGAGAATGGCCGTGACAATCGACTCACGTACGTCCCAGTTTATCTTCTCGCTGTGAATCGTTCGCTTTTTTTTTTTTAAATGAAATTCGACGAATTTCAATTGCGCGAACGACAGACAAGGAATCACGGAATACATATTCGTAATATGACAATAATTCGAACGAACGTTACAACGTAATTGAACACAGTCTACGTTAATGCACAAGGTCTGTCTCGGAAATTACCGAACTCCTCACAAACAGAGAGTTAATAGAATTGATAGCGACATTTGATTTTACTTTTCACTCGTTTCACGTCCAAATTTTATAACGTTTTGGAACGTATTAATAAGTTACAGCTAGATTACGGAGTTTTACAAATAAAATTAAACAGTACAGAATGCACACAATGTGAAAAAATGTAATATAGTGTGCTTTATACAGTATTTGGCACGTAAAAAACAATTTCTCTACCTCTATTTTGCATTTTTTTCAATTGTATTTTCAAAAATACGAAAATTGCATAAAAATCCGCAGTCCAACAATTTTTGTATAAGTATTATAAAATGAGTTTTCATATCTCGTGTAACTTTTTTTAATTCTTCTTTTCCTTTCTTCCTTTAATTTTTTTTTCTTCTAAATTATGGATTATCTCGTACCATTTGGTTTTTAAACTTTCTTTAATTCTTCTTTCTCTTTCTTCAATCCTTTTTTATTAATTCTCTTCTACGAAATAATTTTTTTCTTTTAAATTATGTATCTTCTCGTACCATTTACCTTTTATACTTTCTTTCGTCCGCCATTGTACATCCAACATATAAACAAGTATCCTCAACAGCATTCAACAAAATGACCTACTTTCAAAAGTCATTTGATGCACTAGTCGATCTTGTATAATATATTTCCAATAAAACATTTTCCCTCGAGTTTTGTTATCCCTGGAAATGTTTGGTTATGTCCGAGACAGACGTTGCCACGTGGTGAGAAAGTCGACGACAAAACTCGACTGAAAAATCTCGCTTCTTTCGATTCCTCACCGAAGAGAAACTTCACACTCTTTCCAGGGTTCTCCGACAAGAGTACACTACGGTATCGTTAAATCGCGACGATCGATCGATACAGCTAATTGGTTCCTGCTAACGATTTGGTTAATCGTCGATTAACAAGGCAAAAGGAAAGGTACGAAGGGGTCTCGAGCGGATCAATTTCAGCGGAAACCTTCCTTCCTCTTCCTTCTTTCATTCACACGGGAATCGCTACTTACGCTAGAACCTGATATACAATGCATTCTCACCGAGGTACTTGAACGTTCGTAGTGTGTCTTTTTGCGAATGTGTGTGTTACAGTTGGAAACATCTCGAAAACATAATTGGAAAATATTTCTTGATCACGTTTCCAAGATGAGAAGTAAAAATACTAACTAACACGTCCCATTACGAAATTTGTAAACTCAGATTTTTTGCTGCCTACGACGAAACGATCAGCGATCATAAATTCACAAAGAGAAAAGTAAACAGAGATAAATTTGCAAATGAACAAGCATAAACGAACGCACACGTATATCCATGCGTATTATGATTCGTTTTCATTGTCACTAGCCATTAGAAATCTCATAGCACTGCAGTAAGGCCATCACTAGAAAAATAAGAATAAAAACTTGTCTCATCTATTAAATAGTATAAGTTTAAATATCTTTACGTGGCTACTATTAAATATTTTATGTATTTTTTGCATAATGTACCTGGTGATTTTTGGAATCTCAATTTTCCCAAATCCGCAGTCTAGTCTCATCAGTGTTAAAAATCGCATAACGTTAAATTTAGTAACGTTGCCAATCTTTTTTTTCTTTCTCACTACAATGTCAATCAGTAAAGTTTCAAAATGTTTCGTATAACACACACACATGTAACATTGTATATACATAAAGATTTTCTATGACGCGCGTTCAAATGCACTCATGTGAATTCACTACGTTTCGACACGATCCGTCCAATCGATTAACAAGATTCTCTCGGTTAACGAGGATCGGACAGCATTACAATTACTTCTATTACCTTGTACTCTTCAATTCGACTTCTGCGGAACAGAATCTTTCTGCGGCATTCATTTCTTTTTTTGTTTTTTTTTTTTTTTTTCTAAGGTTTGAAACATAGCAGACTAAACAAGTCTTCGAAGCGCTTACTGAAACAACGAAACAGGTGTCGATGCTCTAGAAGAAAAGTTTGGACATCGTTCAAAAGTTGTCGAACAATTTGGATTACGTTCACAAGTATTAGGACACTTATCGATGATACATAAGCAACAGAACAACTGTCTAAAATAAAGTAACATACGCACGCTGTTACTATTGAGCTATAATAATTACTAACATTGACGTTAGTTGAACAAACTTTTCTTTTTACGAGTAGAAAACTGTGATCAACATTATTAAAATACATCTACAGCTGTGATATACATTATCTATGCATAAGTATTTGGACACTTCTGTAGATGCAATTAAAACCAGTTCAATCTCTTTGGTTTTTGGTATTTCTAAAAATACAATTCAAACGAATCTTTTTAATTTAAATATTCTTTCTTGCAATTTCTTTCAGTATTCATATCATGTTTTTTATGTAACTGTACGATTACCATTGAATGAATTTATTATCTAAGAAAAATTGTGAGACAAGACTGATATAATTTTAAAAAAAATCACACCTTGTATAATATCAAACAAAGTGCGGACAGTGACTGTCTATTGTATTGATGCAATTAATGGATATTGATAAAAAGGAATATTATAACAATATAAAGTGGCTAAAGACTCTGCAGAGTGACTTTAAATATATCTTCATTGTTGACTTAAAACGACTGAAATATGTGTTTCTAATCATATTAGAAAAGTTCATACAGATTTTACGAAGCATCACCTATTTATTAGAAATGAATATGAAACTTGAAAATGCAGAAAATTAATAGTAGAAGAATGTTTGTCAATCAAAAAATATTTGAATATTTAACTCTTGATGGAATTGCACCGAGTGTCCAAATTATTTATGTATGATAGTGTTTGTCACACCAGTACAGTTATAACAAGTTAAATAATTTCTTTTCAGACGTAGATCGTTTGAAAATTGCTCGTAACAACATTTATGATAGCGAATTACAAGCTTCATTCAAGCTTCTGACCCAGACAATTATCTTACAACTATCCTATTTTATATCTCACAGTTCTAAATCAAGAGTTTTCAACGTAAGTAAGTATTCTTAATAATATTTCAATCATTCCTAATTTTTGAAAGTGTCCTAATATTCATGTAACGATAAGGTTTGTTCCAGTAACGCGATACTGAGCAACCTAAGCACACCAATCTCAACGAAATCAGATCAATTCCCTATCGTTTGACCTCGTCGTGCTTAAATTCCTGACATCGATACGTTCGCTTTTCGCTGTTTCTCAGCAGAGCCACTGGAGATAGATCAGCTACATTTCCCCTTTCGAACGACGACTTTGAAGATAAGCTTCCGTTTTTCTGACACTCGAAGCTCGAATAGAACACGGCGAACTCGAGGAGAAATGAGATTTTCAATGGATATGAGAATGATATGCACCACGCAGGGTGCATCGAATGCACACACGTTCGTCACACACACGCACACACGCACGCACAAATGCGATCGCAAACAACACGGTTCGCCATTGATACAAATCCAATGCCCGAACGTTCTTCACGCTCTTCGACTCTCGCGTCGAAGATCAATCGCCTTTCGCTTTAATAGAACACATTTCTCGCAGTAAAGTCCGGGAGGGGACCTGCGGTAACAATCGTTCGCCTCGACGAACTTGAGACTCTTTACACAATTCTTTACACTTGCGGAGATACTTACAGATATACTATAGGTCTATCTACATGATATGAAGCTATCGAAGTGATCTCCCTTCGTCGCACGAGAACGCCCCTCTCACGCCGTGCAGTCAAACAAAATATTCTCTCTCTCTCTTTCTCTCACTCTTTGTGTTCGGTCTACGAAACGCGTTTAGGAGGGGAGCTCGTTGCGACGAAGTTTGCTCGGATGATATCCGAGGCACGCTTGTCCTCTGTACTTTCCAGGGCGATCTAAACGCGATCGTGAAAACTATATATAACCGGTTATAATTTCTCTCTAGCGCGAAGAAGCGTCGACGTTATTTGGTTATTCTCGCAGTTTCGCAACAGAGCTTCAATGATATCGAGGCTTTCCTTAAAGTCATCGCTCGCGAGACGTACATATCGCGTCTTCGTCTCGGGCCACAGGTTCTCGCCTGGAAGCATTTGGTCAATCACGCGCGCATCAGCAAGCATGCCTTTGTTCTCGCTTTAGGAGGTAACACGCGAGTCTAGCGGAACGAAGGAACAAACGAGTTCTCGTGGAAGGTTATACCCTTAGACTAAAAAGAAGAAAAAGAAAAAAAAAATAGTTTCTCGAACGAATGACTGTTGCAAGGTATGTACAAGTGTGTGTAATGTGTCTGTGTATGTTGAACGATACTTAGCGAGAAATGCGGTGGAGCATCCGTGACACGTTTCTCATAAAATCGACTACGAAGCGCCGTTAAACAGCAGTAACGTTCGATGTTTAGCCGTGTGATGTCTCGAGAAAACAAGGGCAGGACAGCTTTGATTTGTAGCCAACGAGTCGAGAAAAGTCGAGGGAGATTTCAACCGTGTGCACCCCCGTGGCGCGAGTATCAGGGCATCGATGGAATCTTTGAAAATTATTCTTCGAAATGATCACAATCTTTCGTTTGAAATAACAATATATCATGATATTATATTATGAATGATATATTGTTATTTCAATATCTTCATCAATTTTCACGTTATTGTAGCTACACACATACGTTCGTTTACAATTTTAAACAAACGTAAAATTCTAACGTCTAATTTGAATGCCAACCGTTTCATTTTGTACGAAACCGACAGATGTCCTGATAGTCACGGGGAATACACGGTCGGGATCGAATTTGCAGATCCTTCCATAAAACCACGCGTCACAAAACATAGACGAGAGACTCTGAACACGTTTGACACGATGTCTATCGCATAACGAACGACTCTGTCATCTCGAATCCGATCACCAAAACATTACATATATATATATTGCTAATGCGTGTTCTCGCTGAAGCAACGAGGAGCAAAATGTGTTGCTCGTTGTTGCTCGAGTGAAAAACACGGCTCGACTCGATACACGCGTGTCCACTATACCAGACATTGCGACAGTAAAACGAGCGATAAAACTCCACTATTAAAATTGACACATAGACGAGTGAATCGTAAGACGTTTACGACCTCGAAGAGGAGGAGTTTAATAAAAAAGCATCTCTGACAGAGACAGAAAGAGAGAGGGAGAGACAGAGAGAGAGAGAGAGAGAGAGAGAGAGAGAGAGTGAGAAAAAGAGAGAGAGATAGAGGAGAGAGCAGAGTTGATTCGTTATCCAAGTAGACGACGCGATTCTTCTAGAGCGGACCGGCGAAAAGAGGAAACCAGAACAGTGTTGGCTCGAGAACAGTTCCCAACGAGGAGAGAATTTCTTCTTCTTCTTCTTCTTCTTCTTTTTTTTTCTTTTTTTTTCCTTTTTTCATTTTAACAGGAGGATTAATAAGGCGAGGCGTGCCGTGAAAAAAACTATTATTGGTGCAGGGTCTCGTCAGTCTCGTCCTGGGATACGATACTGGACCGATTCGACCTAACGTCCAGATCGATGCTGAACGGCTTCGTCGAGCTGGTGAACAACGGCTGCGTCGTGTTCTCCTCGATGCTCAGGCTATACTCCAGCGAGCTGTCACTGAAAATACAGAAACAGACCTCTACTCATCACTAGCGTCTTCGACGATTGTTCTACGAGAACGATGCGGCTTTGATCGACAATCATACCCGGGCGCGTTTACCTGACGATGCTGGCACGATCCATGGACGTCGACGTAGGTACCGTGCAGTTGTCGCCGTTACAGGGCCTCTCCCCGTTGCTGCTGCAAGAGGAGGAGGTTCTCGTCGCGGCTGATTCCTTCATCGACGCCCGCCGCGATTCCTCATGGCACTCGCACCTGTTCCACGAAATTAGTTATGAAATTGCAGAGGATACACGTAGAGGATACCGTAGAGTGCCAAACTTTTGCTCAAATTTTTCGCGTTCAAACTCATCCTTTTTTCATTTTCATCTCATCCTGTTCAGACTAAGTCACAGACTAATCCTGTTTGTTTTTTTGAATATATTATTTTTATCTAGAATGTATGCATTAAAATATAGTAATGAGTGAAAATTTGATGTTTGGCACTTACAATGAATGTTTTCGATAAAGACTCTTTAATTATTTAATAAAGAAAAGCCTATTGTATTCAAATATTAAACGTTTATAATCCTGATATTCTATTATGTGAACAGAGCATTTAGTAATAGATATCTTCTTTTGTACTAAATTATTTCATGTATATCACTACAAATTTCGCAATTATAAAAAGAATACAAGAAGAAGAGACAGTATCAATATATCAATGGAATGTAATGCAAGAAATTTCGCTTAAATTGGAGATAAAAATTTTCCAATTTTGATAGTCTTTAACTTTTTTATTAGAATGAGTTTTAACTTTTTTATAGTAATGAGTGAGAATTTGATATTTGACACTTACAGTGTGTTTTTTACAAGAACTCTTTAATTATCTAATACAGTAGAGCCTATCATCTGAATACTTTAATATTTGAATGTTTAACTGAGCATCTAACGGTAATAGATATCTTTTTTTATCTTAAATATACGCGTTTCATGTGTATGACTACATGTTTCACAATTGCAGAAAGTTGAGATACAATACTAAAGAAATTGCATACATTTTCATAGAACTCTTCTCAAAATGAAAGTGTAAGGCACTTGCAAGTACTCTTCAATTTTAAACAATTTTAAACCAAGGTATTTGAATCGTCACACTTTTGCGTCCTTGTTTACTTTAAATGAAACAATGCCGATCTCTGTCGCAAATTAAATAATCTTCATCGTTCGTTCACCAAGATGAAATATACCTGCATTCCTCCGGTTGAACGTAGTTGTATCCACCCGATTTCACTTCGTCCTCAGGTCGAGGGATCGTCTGGATCCTTTTCGGCGCTTTCCTCTTCTCCGGTATCTCCTCGAAGTTGATCCAGTTGCTTGGCCTAGCCGTGGCCCTCGGTGGCAGTGGAGGAGGACTCGGCGATTTACCAGCGCTCTTCCGTCCCCCGTCAGGCACCTTGCCGGCGAACTCCATGAACGTGTTCGCCGCGTGTTTCCGCGGACTTTTCAGCTTGAAACTTTCTTCCCGTGGCAACGATATCTTCATCTTCTCAACACGACGCTCGTCGAGGGACGTCTGCATCACAAACTCGTCGAGCAGCGTCGGGTTTATCGGCGTCGTGGAACGCGGCCTCTCGATCGGTATCGTTCTGCGAATATGAATAATATTATTTACCTGGATTAGGAATTAGGAAAATATGATTTATTGTTGTACGTGCGTCGCGATTCGTGTTATTGATTTTCCTGGGGAAACAGGCTTTTGTGAAATGTCATCGAGTCAATTAAATGAGAGAGATTTAATGTTATTAATATAATAATTAATATTAATATCGCATGTTTGCATGTAATATTATTAATACAACATTAGTATTATACAACTAATATTAATATTATTTGATATGAACGTTACAATTATTTTAGCAAAGTTTGGCAACAAAAGTTCAGTCTTATTAACGAATTTTACTAATAAAAGCAATAAAACGGTCATAGAGACATAATATTATTTTAAATGACTATATGTATGTGCAATTTAGTTCAAAAGAATCAGCACATTTCTTATTTATAAAAAAAAACAACGAATTTTACTTTGAATTTTCGAATTTTTATTTTGCATTAGGTTGACGTAATAGTACGTTGCTTCTTCACAACATATCATGTATATAATAAAAATAATTTCCACGAGATTATGTGCATTGAGAACTGGTTTCATAAGAATTATATCAATTTTAAAATTGGAGAATTCCTCGAATAAAATTGTTGCAGGTGTTGTTTAAATAATTTCTGCTTGAAAAGATTGTCTAAGTGAAATGAAGGATATCTTTGATCTGATACAAATTTACGTTTTCGCTAGACGTTTCTCTTCACATAAGAAAATCAAACAAATATTTTTTCTGATTAATTAATAACAAGATTCTGAATATTGTGCAAATTTTCTTCATGCTGAATATACGTGGTCTGTAGCAAATTTTTTGCTACTCGCTATAAAAGATAAAATTTAATAGATCAGTATTAGGTTAAGTATTAGGACTAGTTAATTATTAGGTTAAGTTTTAGGTCTAAGCTTATATTTTATTTAGTATTATTTACTTTATTATATATATTATTATTTATATTTTATTATATTTAGTATTATATAAGTATTAGGACTAGGTTTCGTTAAATTCAAATTGGATTAAAAATACACAAGTATTAGGACTAGTTAATCTCTTGCGCTAGTAACTGGTTCGCGGACCATAACGAGTGACCAAACCGTCTTATAAAATAACTCGTCTTCTTTTTGAATTCATCGATATATCACTGGATAGAAATTATTAAGAAGTAATAAATTTATTATTTGTTTTGCCTGGGTTATATTTCAATACACTTAAAACTGTGAAAATATTGCCAATTCTGGGCCAAATATTCTCAACGTGCGTCGCACGTCATTCCAGCGCAACAGGTTAAGTATTAGGTTAAATATTAGGGCCAGGTTAAGTATTACAAATATTAGGACTAGGCTCGTTAGATTCAAATTTCAAGTAAACAACATTTCATATGCATCAGCCCAATAATAATTCCTTTGGAACGAGCAAATCCTTTAGACGAACAAACAACGCAGTCACAACATCGCAGACACTGTGTAGGACACAGCAAAGAACAAAAAA